GCAGGCGAATTCTTAACCACTGTGCCACCAGGGAAGCCCTAACTGGGCTTGATTTTTGTGTGGTGTAAGTAGGGGTCAGATTTCGTGTCTATTGGTGATGCTAAAATGAATTTGCTTAATAGATATAAATAAATAAATGGCAAAAACTGTGAGTACTGACTCACAGCCAATGATCAATTGAGTTTCCACTGGACACAATTTGCATTTCTAGGGGCAAGAATCATCTGAATTACTCACAGTGGAAGGTGTAGAATCAGATCATCAGGACAGCTGGTAGCCTAAGCACGTATTGTTCTTTGAATTCTCCTTTGAACCAGTTGTAACATTTTCTTGGTTCCTTTGTTAATAAAGGAGTTAAATAAATTTTTGGACATGTGTTCAATTTTATATCTTTATGAGAGTTATGATTTTATCTGTTTTTAAAAAATGACCTTTTAGCAGTTCTAATTCCTTTGCTTTTTACTCCTCCCTGTTTACCTTCAAGTGCAAGGGTTTGTCATAGATTGTTCTCAAGTTTTTGGACCAGGGTGACTCGTCTAGTCATCAGTGGTTGAGGGCTGGGGATAAAACAGTTGTAAGGTACACAGTGTGGCTTCTTGCCCACGGGACTTGATGACAAGAAAATACAATGGCTGACAGCTCTCCTGTGCCCTATCACTTAGTCGAGAAATACAGGTGTTTTTAGTAACATTATTGCCCCTCTAGCACAGAGCATTCTTCCAAAGACTGACAAATTGCAGAGTGGTCACGTGTTAGTTTTAGAAACTTGGGTTTCTACATAGAGTGAGCTTTTGCTGAAAGTAAGACCAGTAACCTAGAGAAAAGAGTAAAGGATAGAAAAACTGATTGTTTGAAGAGAATTGTAACTGTACCTATCTTGTGACTGACCTATTTCTTGTTTTTAGGAGAACAAAAAAAGTGAACAGCATTTAAAAACAATAACAACAAAATGCTTCCGGGTAGATTGCTGTATTCAATGAGACCAAATTTTATTTTTTTTTAATGTGACACAGCCGTTAAACTTTCACGTTAACAACAGCCAACGTTTGTGTAACTCATTCACACGATCTTCTGTGTACACACAAGCACACACTACATAAAAAATAAGTTAAGCTTTAATAATGAAACACATTTACAAATGCATCTTCTTAAAGCCTAGCAAAAAGTAAGAAATATGGACACTTCTGAGACAGGATCACTGTAGAAGCTGGCTCTTCAAGAAGAAAATATTTTGAGAATGAAAAGCCTGAGGCAAATCACTGAGTATTCTTCAAATGCCAGTTTTGTAATTCTCCATATTTCTTAATCTACCTATTAGCTTTCTGTTGGCAAGAATATAGCTTTTAGGGTTGTCTCCAAAAAGTTAGATGTCACCTAAGTAGAAAGTTCAGCTACATTCCTTCTGAAACTTAAAAGAAGTAGAGCCCCTTTTAGCAGTCCTTATTTCCAAAGACGACTCATCCTTAGTGGCCCTAGATCAGCGACTGTAAAATTTTATGTTCAGAGACCTCAGCAGTGAATTTTGAAAACCGGTGTATGCCCTTACACATTTCCAAATTGATGTCTAAAATTTCTCATCCTAAATAGTTGCAAAGGATCGAAGTGTCTGCATGTTGTAGATGCTGCAAAAACGGTTACATCCCCTTTAAATTTAGCCAAGAGGCTCTAAGTACAATAGGTGGTAGCCACTACCATCCTTTCAAAAAATTAAACAAGGCAATTTTTTAATGGTAGGAAATGCTACATTTTTCGTTTTTACTCACTGAATTTGTATTTTTATTCTATTTCCCCCTCAAAATTTTAGCGCAATTATTCTTGGCTTTTATGTTGTTTAGTTGCATATCTGTAACAAAATTACATATCCTGTCATCATAAGGCTCTTACATATTTTAAACTTCTTCTGGACTGAGTTTAATAAACAAATAGGGTGCACATTTTAATAAAGTACTAACTAAACACAGTAACATTTCATTGGCCATGTATCACTTACGGAGCTGAAGAAGGCTTCTCCCTCCAACTATTTCATCTCTGTATAGATTAATATTATCTTTGTTAGAATTGTCACGGTACAGTATCACTTCTATTCTCCCTTTTCGATTTTATGTATGGAAATATTGGTGGTCTTTCACAGAGATAGATGGGAACAGAAGGAATTATGTGACAGCAGCGTAGCTGAATTCTTCCAACTCCTTCAGAACTACATGCTAAAGTAAATACTCAGAAATCTTGGGTGTTCCTTCAATTTTGTTGAAAGCAAAGAATTGGGAACCACCAGCATTGCAGAAGGAAGGATTTGTATCCTGTTAAAGAGGCTCTCACTTTCCAAACAACATATTTTGATGTTTACATCTTGAGTCATGCTCTACAGTCAGACTGACTATGGGGAAAGATGTTTTCTTCGGTAAGGAGAGAAAAGGGCATTTTCTCGGGCAGATGAATCTTAGGAAAGAGTACAGTAGGAAGGGGAGGATCTGAAAATTGATCCCCTAAAACTAACTCCCTGGAAAGGTCTGGTAGATTGCTAGGGGTAAGACTGGCCCACTTTAAAAATTATTGGCCTTGGGGGCTTAAGTTTAGTTTTTATTTAACTGTGTCATAAAGCATATAAATTATTAGATTATGTCGCCTTCTTAATTAATAGAGCAGCAGGTCCTCAAATGTATTCCACTGTAACTAGTCCCGTAAGATGTTTGTTGGCAAAAGGGTTCTCAGATCAAATTTGGGAAAGGGATATTCTATACCCCTCTTCACCGTGCACATTAGAATAGCCAAGTCTTACAGTAGAGAAATTAACTTTCTATAACCTAAATTTCACAAACTCAAATGATCTAACCAGCCTCCTCCATTTATATTTCCACGTAATACCAGATGTTCACCATTTCCTTTATCAATTAGAATAAAGACTATTTTACTCATAGGCAATCACGGCTTGACTCCATCGATGTTCCTGCTATTTCAGGTTGTTCCTATCAATCACGATTCTCCTTGACCTGAACTGGCTGTGCTCATTACATGGCTGTTAAACCACAATCTCAGCTAGATATTTTATACTTAGGTTATGTGGCATCTGGGCCCCTCACTTTCTTTGTGTCTCAACCTAGAGAATCCTCCCACCACCAAGAACCAGATTAATGTGTTACCCTATTAAGGGGAGAGTGTAGTGCCAAAGCAAATATTCTCTAATGGTGGATTCAAGTCACTGTAGCACAGAGGAGCAGGAGCCGGTTTTAGGGGAGAGGGTTCTTCCCAGCACCATCGAGAGTATAAACCCTCTCATGTGCCTGCTCTGTCTCTGCATGAGTATGGCTCGGTATGGATTCTACGAGATAGCAGCTGAAAAGATGCTTAGCTTCTGCCTTCTGTGCTACCACTTCTTAATTTTTTTTGACACAGTAGCAGAAAATCCATTTTAAGCAGAAAGGGGATCCTGGTCTTAACCTTTTGGCTTTAAAATGGAGTGAGGTGGAAGGTTTATGTCTTTTATTCATCCGTAGCTGAAAACAGGTAATGACATCAACACCTGAGCTTGTAGAGGTAATGCTGGAGCCAAAAGGGGCTTGTGGCTGGAGGTGCAATAATTAGGCTCCAGTGGCTTCCTGGCCAACAGCCAATGGGGCACTGGCTACAGAGTCTGAAAATTCCCTCCATGCAGTGTTCAATTCAGTGCCTTTTCCATCTAACCTTTCTTGAATGTTGATTTGAACATTTGCTACCATCGGGAATGTTCTTCCCTCAGTTGCTGGCTGCCAAATAAAATAGCAACTCCAACTCAAGGAATAACTAAGTAATAAGAGCAGCCTGACCAAGGTGAGGCTGTTAGGTATACTCAGGGCTTCATGGAAGATAAAACGCATTTCTTTTAGAAGCACATGGATAGGTTCCATGAGACCGGTAACCATGGCTTTTTTTTTTCTTTCCTTAATTTTTTTAAGACCTGGAACCCCCAGACTTTGGCACAGTGCTTGGTGTATGGAAGTACTTGATAAACTTTGGCACAGTGCTTGGCGTATGGAAGTACTTGATGAACTTGCGTGGAATGGAGGGATGGGGTCTTTTGATGAGACAGAGCATGGCTGCCTTTAAGGTACTCTCCAGCTAATGCGTGCACGCTAAACCCAGGATAATAAGGGGTAGGCGGAGTGGATTTCTAGGACACAGTTCCATCCAAGTAAAGCCACCAGACTGACTGCTGGTTTGTGGCTCCCCATCAGTCACTTGTTTCCCATAGTTCCCTTTTGTCTCCTAAGTTAGTTCTCAGTTCCCTCTGACCAAGTTGTGGCTCTACGGACCACTCCCCACCCCCCGCACACTATCCTCGCCTTGAAAAAGCCTTATTAAAGCATCACACTGTACAAATCATTAAACTGCATCTCAAGATGGAGAGGAGGATCATCTTGTCCTAGGTCGGTCTGCCCCTTTGTGGGTGGCCAAATCTGAGATTTTCTGTAGTTTCCTAAGGCTTCGCTCACTGCTCCAGAAAACTGGATAATCCAGAGGGCCTACCCTGTATCACGCCGTTTAAGCAGTGAGTGACCTCTTGCCTGTGGACAGCTGCAGACCCGGAACTTCCCTGTGGCTATGCAGCCAGCTCATAAGTGGACGGAGCAGGGGTGAGTGAGAAGCTGGCCGCGCCTTCAGGGGCTCTGATCAGCTCTGTAAATCAAAGAGGCCCCAATTGACCCCCCACTGCCCCAGTCGCAAAGCAAGTCTCTGTCTTAATGGATGGGCTCCACCCCCAGCCCCGTGTCGTGTATGGCAGCAGGTCGGTTCAGCCTGCTGGTGGTAGTTAAAGTGCTTTGACCCGGGGCAAGGCTAGGGCTCCTCTCTGGACCTTGGTAAATTCTGATGGCCTTAAGGGTGTTCAAATCGTTTCCAGAATCTAATGAATTAGTTCCTTAGAGATGGGGCTCATCTTCTGTGGAAGTCAGTTACCTGGGTCTTTAGGGGCCAGGGAAGGAATCCTGCTCACTCTACAGGTCGTGCACAGAAGCTCTAACCGATCAAGAGTTGCATTGCTTTTATTCAGTGAGGTCTGGAACACGAGAGGCCGAAGGTGAGCAGGTTTTGGGGGTCCTCTATAGAGACTATAAGTTAAGAAATTGTCCAAGACGAGAAAGTTACCAGGAAATTACCCCAACTCATGCCACTTGGGTCGACTTCAGAAACGTCATCTCGCTGACAGGCTTGAGGAGAGGATGACGTCACACATGAGCATGTTCCCAGGGTCCGAAGAGAGCACACAGTCCTACATGCAAACACACGCGCACACACGACACCTTTACACATGGAGCCCGGCTTCTATGAGTAGAACTTGCTGTTGCTGACTCTCTTCTCTCTTAACCTGAAATGAAACAGATTTCACCGTCATCCATTAGTCTAGGACATGGGCCACGTGCTGAACTCTGACATTTCTCTGTCCACACATGTGCAGGATATTCGGGGCTGCAGGGTACAGGGCAGAGTTGGGAGAAGTGAGTCCCTGGCAAAGACACGTAACTTCCGTGGATCTGTTTCCTCACTGGTCGTTGTCCTGGGGTCACTGCTACCGTGTAGGCGTGGTCAAGAGGAAATGAAAGTAACGTGGTAAGGAGTCTCCATGCTGTTTGCAACAGAGGTTGCTGCTGGCGTTTTCTTGACGATAGCTCTTGGTGGAGCAGGCCTGCCTGGCACACTTGGCTGGCCCTCCTTACGCGTCCGTAGCACAATTCAAAGCATCCCTTCTTGCGGAGGGGAGGGATTCTGTTTCGATTTAGGAACCATTGGACTAGCCCATGCTTGGGAAGTCCGGAAGCGTTCCTTAAACAGCAGTGGTCGTGGCTTATTTGCACTCTGACACTCAAGTGTCCCTCTCATGAGGACAGTTCGGCTTAGGGAAGGTGCAGATGCTTAAGCTCTAACTGTAAGTAATTGATGGAGCAAAGAGAAGTAGAGGCAAGGGTGTCAGGATTTCTAAAGATGGAGGCTTTCCCGCAGCCCTGGCCCCAGGGCCCAGCATCACAGTGGCTACAGGGTCTGCGGGTGGGGGGCTGACCCACCTGCGGTTGCACTTCTCCTGGTACAGCTGCAGCTGGTTCTCGTTGACGTTGAACTCTCTGACCAGGGCATCCCGGTTGGCGCTGCGCAAGTTCTGGTGTGTGTCGTACAGAAAGAGCTGGTTGTTCAGTTCTTCTTGCCGCCTCCGCAGCTGGCGGCAGGAGGAGTAAAGCTCCTCTTCGCTCTCCTGGAGAACAGAGGTGAGAACAACCATGTGGGCACAGTGTCCTCCAAACCAGGATGTGGGGCATGGCACCTGGAGGGTGTGAGGGAAGGGAGCACAGGGCAGACCTGTCATCTGCTGGGACCTTCCCAGAAAATCTAGGGCCTCTTTTAACCAAAGATAAACTTGCAGTCACTTACTCCACAGGAAGCAAGCAGTTTAGAAACTCTGGTTCTCGAGGAGGGGGAGCTTTACTGTGAAACACTGAAATAACAAATGCACTGCCCGCTGATCCTGTTTCTTAATCAAATCTGTTTTTTCGTGGGTCTGTGTCACCTTCTGGCTCTCATCCAAATGCAAAGGCTCTGTGCTTATAGTGGAACACAGCAGGTGAGGCAGAGGGCAGCCTGGATGGGAGGTAGATTAGTGGTGGCCTGGGGGCTGGAGTGAGTGGAGACAGCTAATGAGCAGGAGTTGCTTTCTGGGGTGATGAAAATATTCCCAAACTGGTCATGATGATGGTTACACAACGCTGAATAGACTGAAAACGACTGAACTGTATGCTTTTAAGTGGGTGGAATGTACGGTATACGAATTATAGCTCAATAAACTTGTCACCCCCGCTGTGGCAAAAAGAGGCAGGGAAACATTAGGCTATACCCCCAGAGATGGGCTTGTCACTCTGGCCAGTAACGATGACTCCCCTGTCACCGCCGCCTCCAGCGTGTGACCCAAACCAGGCAGATGGGTAGCAGCCCTGGGCCTCTGGTCAGTGCTCTTGGTAAAAAGCAAGTTTCTTTTCTTGGGGATCAGTGGAAAGAGTGATGATTGTTTCCAGTTGCTAGCGGTCCCTTTGCTATCACGTCGAGAAGGAGAGGGAAACAGAGCCACTGGGAGAGCACCTGGATCCAGCCATGACTGTAACAAGCCCTACTCCTAAACCCCGCAGTTGTCCGAGCCAAAATATTCCCCCCATTATGCTAAGGGGAAAAAAAAATCTTATCGGGTAAGGTGTTTGTATTTCAGCATGGGAGGAGGAGGGTGTGTTGCCTCACTGATGTTTTTAAAAGGTCTCTGTCTATTGTGCAAAGGATGGCTACTCAGGGGGTGGGTCTAGTGGCTGTTACCACTGGTGCAGTAGGTCGAGAGACTCCAGGGCTAAAAACGGGCATCCATATACACAAGTGGGCTGCTTTTGTCATTTACTTTTATAAAACGTGGCTTAGACCATAGCTTGGTCTGAAATTTTTTTCTCACCTTAACGACCTAACAAACCATCATGGATATCCCCGGGGTAACAGGTAGACTCTGACTTTGGAGAGTGGGGAGAGAGATGGTAAAGGTTATTCTAGCCACTGGCACAGTGCCGAGGAGTAAAACGATGATTGTCTTTGCACAAGGAGTGGAGGTAAAATGGGTAGTTCTTGGTAACTGATTCAACGTACTGAGTGAGGCACTGGCAAGGGTCCATAGTGACTTGTCTTAAACGTTTATCCTTCCTCAAGGAGACCAGCTTTCCTTCCTATTAAAACTAAAACAAAACGAAAGCCACATTGAAGTCTTCACGCTGTACTACAAATGGTCTCTTTTCACCTGCTCTCCGCCTAGAAGAAAACAACTTATGTTGTTTTCATATGTGTAATGATGAGTAGCACTGATGTATATACACTACCAGATGTAGAAGAGATAGCTAGTGGGAAGCAGCCGCATAGCACAGGGAGATCAGCTCGGTGCTTTGTGACCACCTAGAGGGGTGGGATAGGGAGGGTGGGAGGGAGGCTCAAGAGGGAGGGGATATGAGGACATATGTATGCATATGGCTGATTCACTTTGTTATACAGCAGAAACTAACATTGTAAAGCAATTATATTCCAATAAGGATGTAAAAAATATATATACACCTTTTCCACTAATGCTTTTAAAATTGCAGGCCTTTGTCTCCTTTTCTGAATCCCAAAGCATTTACAGCTGTGATATAATTTAGTCCTATGAGATACAACATACATTCAGAAAAGTACGTAAAACATATATACAGTTTAGTGAATAACTGTAAAGCAAACAGCTGTGGAGACACCAGCCAGTCAAGAAACAGAGCATGGTCTACTCTGCGTACCCCTCCCGATCCAGACTCCCTCCTTCCCTCTTAGAATTTTGTGATAATTATTTCCTGGCTTTCTGTTGAGTCTGAGTTGTCACAAAAATTTAGTTTTTCTTTTCCAAGTCAATGGTTATTTCTGTTTTCTAATACATGTATCTTACCAATTTTTCTCACCATTGCTTCTTGCATTACATTCCTTCTTGCTTACCATGGTCATTCTTTTAGCAAAGCTTATTAGTACTAAATTATCTGTCTTTGTATTTCTGAAAATACCTTCATTTTGCCCTCGCTCTTGAATGGTAGCTCTTAGGATGTAGAATATCTAGACCCACAGCTGTGTATCTAAGGCATGTTGAAGGTATCCCTTAGTCTTCAGGCTGCTATTGCTATACATGGAAGCACTGCTGTTATGTGTCAGTCGTCTGTAGTTAATCTGTCTTTTCTTTTATAATTTTCTCTTTACTCTGTATTCTGCCATTTCAGTAGAATATGCCTGAATGTGGGTCTCTATACTGCTCTGTTTATAGTTGGAGGATGCTTGTCTCTTCAATGCTGGAACATTCTCAGCCATGGTTATTCCAATGTTGGAGCTTCTCATTTTACGCTTTTTTTTTTTTTTTTTGCTCTTTTAGTATTTTTACCTTGTCTTGCTGTATTAAAGCAAATTCCCCAAACACAATCTTCACAGTTATTAATTCTTTCCTTAACTGTACCCATTCTGTAATTTCCTACTTATTAATCTTTAAAAACTTTTTTCAGGACTTTTTGATTCGTCTTTCCAGGGATTTCTTTATTGGTCCTTTCATTCCTACCTTTTCTGATTAATTTTAAGAAGGGTGGCTCTTTTTAAAATCCATGCATCCACTGGGTTCCCTTTTAAATTTTTTTTTAAATTTCAAAGTTATTTTCAGATTCACTGGAGTCAATTCTCTTGCTTTTGTGCTTGTGAGATATATTAGCATTATTTTCCTTGAGTGTTAAAATTTTAATGTGCAAGCTCATCTGGAATGGGAAGTTTCTTTCCTCCTTCAGTCTATACACCGGCATCTGGTTTTCTGAATGCTCTAAATGGGGGACTCCCAAGGGCAGGGCCAGCAGTGTTACAGTGATAGTCTGGGGCTCTAGATTCTCAGGAAAACTACTAACCCTGTCTGTGTCCTGGCTGCAGGGCTGTATCCACTTTTATCCCATCCCCTCAAGCAAGCAGCTGACCGCTGGCCTAAGTCCTGGGCACCTGCCAAATCTCTTTTTATGAAGGGTGTTTCAGAAGAATGAAGCCCACTGGCCCCAGGCCATCTATCTGTGTACAGCCTATGTACAGTCCCATTTGTATTAGCACACACAAATGAAATACATAAATTATGTATCCAAACACAAAGAGTAATAAAAAGAACAAAAGGCTAAGGAAAGACTGAATCAGTGAAGATAAATTTAGAAATGGCTGAATTGGTAAACCCAAATACAAAATAAATGCAAGAGCGAGGTTGTTTTATGGGAAAAATACAGAGTTAATGAAGTAGATAATCCGTTATCTATACTAATCTAGGAAGGTATGGAAGGCTTGATTTGTGACCCAGGATATGATCTATCCTGGAGAATGTTCCATGAGCACTTGAGAAGAAAGTGTATTCTGGTGTCTTTGGATGGAATGTCCTATAAATATCAATTAAGTCCATCTTGTTTAATGTATCATTTAAAGCTTATATTTCCTTATTTATTTTCATCTTGGATGATCTGTGCATTGGTGAAAGTGGGGTGTTAAAGTCCCCTACTATGATTGTGTTACTGTCGATTTCCCCTTTTATGGCTATTAGCATTTGCCTTTTGTATTGAGGTGCTTCTATGTTGGGTGCATAAATATTTATCATTGTTACATCCTCTTCTGGATCGATCCCTTGATCATTATGCAGTGTCCTTCTTTGTCTCTTGTAATAGTCTTTATTTTAAAGTCTGTTTTGTCTGATATGAAAATTGCTACTCCAGCTTTCTTTTGATTTCCATCTGCATGGAATATCTTTTTCCATCCCCTCACTTTCAGTCTGTATGTGTCCCTAGGTCTGAAGTGGGTCTCTTGTAGACAGCACATATACGGGTCCTGTTTTTGTATCCATTCAGCCAGTCTGTGTCTTTTGGTGGGAGCATTTAATCCATTTACATTTAAGGTAGTTATCAATATGTATGTTCCTATTACCATTTTCTTAATTGAATTGATTTGCATTTGTTATTAGAGGTCTTTTCCTTCTCTTGTGTTTCCTGCCTAGAGAAGTTCTTTAGCATTTGTTGTAAAGCTGGTTTGGTGGTGCCGAATTCTCTTAGCTTTGACTTGTCTGTAAAGGTTTTAATTTCTCCGTCGAATCTGAATGAGATCCTTGCTGGGTAATCTTGGTTGTAGGTTTTTCCCTTTCATCACTTTAATATATCCTGCCACTCCCTTCTGGCTTGCAGAGTTTCTCCTGAAAGATGAGCTGTTAACCTTATGGGGATTCCCTTGTATGTTGTTTTTCCCTTGCTGCTTTTAATATTTTTTCTTTGTATTTTATTTGATAGTTTGATTAGTATGTGTCTTGGTGTGTTTTCTCCTTGGATTTATCCTGTATGGGCCTCTGTGCTTCCTGGACTTGATTATTTCCTTTCCCGTATTAGGGAAGTTTTCAACTATAATCTCGTCAAATATTTTCTCAGACCCTTGCTTTTTCACTTCTTCTTCTGGGACCCCTATAATTCGAATGTTGGTGCAATTAATGTCCCAGAGGTCTCTGAGACTGTCCTCAATTCTTTTCATACTTTTTTCTTTATTCTGCTCTGTGGTAGTTATTTGCACTATTTTATCTTCCAGGTCACTTATCCGTTCTTCTGCCTCAGTTATTCTGCTATTGATCCCTTCTAGAGAATTTTAAATTTCATTTATTGTGTTGTTCATCATTGTTTGCTCTTTAGTTCTTCTAGGTCCTTGTTAAACGTTTCTTGTATTTTCAGCATTCTGTATCCAAGATTTTGGATCATCTTTACTTTTATTACTCTGAATTCTTTTTCAGGTAGACTGCCTATTTCCTCTTCATTTGTTTGTTCTGGTGGATCTTGTCTTTCTGGTGGGCAGGACCATGTCCGGTAGTGTGTTTTGGGGTGTCTGTGACCTTATGATTTTAGGCCGCCTCTCTGCTAATGGGTGGGATTGTGTTCTTCTCTTGCTAGTTGTTTGGCATAGGGTGTCCAGCACTGTAGCTTGCTGGTCGTTGAGTGGACTAATGTGGCTCTGTTTATGTACTGAATTTTTTAATTCAAAAGATAATTTTTTTTTGGTTTCAAATTCCAGAAGGTCTTTTTTAGAGCTTTAATGTACCTCCAAATAAAGCACTGATGTGTTAGGCGTCTCATAAGATGCTTCCGGCAGCTCTAGTTCAACTGCCAGGCACCTGTACCGGGTATTCACCTGGTCTTTCCTAGTCGCTACGTGCCTGGTTTTCCACTGCATGCTCACGGCTCTGTATGTGCAGCAGTCCCACCAAGGCACTGGGACACAGTGGAGGCACCTGGTTTCTGCTGTTTGGGAGCAGCACTGGTCCAGCTCTGGCTGTTGAGGCACGAGGAGGGCCTTTCTCTCTGTCTCCAGGTCTCACGACTGTAAAGAAGTCTTTCCCAATGTCCAACACCAGGCCCAGCTCAGCTCCCGAGTGCAGCACCCCCTACTCATCCTCCGGGAGTTCAGTGTGCCCCGCAGCCCTTCTCCAGAGGGATATGTGTGAATCCACACGTCGGCTCTGGCTGAGCCTTGCTGGGAACCACAGACTGTGGTCTTTCCAACTAGGCCACTCTACCCCTTGTACCTTAGCTCCCACCCAGCATGAAGGTGAGCACTGACGACCCTGGGATCTGTACTCAGAGATCCTGGGGCTGCCAGTTTTCTCAAACGTACCCTCCGGATACTGCCAGCTTGCCCGGCGATAATAATTAGGGTGACTATTCGAGCTTCCGTATTTCTCCTGCTCCATTCTTCTGAATCGCACAAGTCTAGATCATTTGAGTGAAGGAGGCCATTTTCAATTAAGGGCAGGATTGCATATAATACATCAACTTAAAAGAAACTGTTTACTTCCAGAGCACAATTCGACATGTATCCAAAAATATATGGTCTTTTATTTTCCTCTTTGACCTATCATTCCATTGCGAAGTAGCTAGCCTCAGGAAGTAATTTTTAATCAATGTTATATGAAGACCTTCATTATTATAAAGTAAAAAGGTGCAAACCACCTAACTGTCCGTCAGTGGGAGAAAGGCTAAGTGAATTAGGGACCTCCACCTGAGGAAACAGGCATTAATGGCTTTGAAAATGGTAAGAATGTGGAAAAATGCTTAGCATCATCTGTGAAGTGAATAAAGGGCACATATTCATATTATATGAATCCAACTATGAAAATATCATACGCAAAAAATTATCAGGCAAAGGAAAGATATCTAAATGCTAGCAGTAGTTATGTACAGGTGGTTTATGGGATTTTTTCAACCTCCCCCTTCCTTCGTTTTCCTACTTCTCAAATTAAGTATCATAGGTAATAAAGTGGTGTTAAAAAGACCCTCTGTAAACCATATATACAGCTAACAGAGTAACAGAATTGATAAGTGATTGTGACATTTAAATGGCTTCTTCAGAAAGGGCTCAACGTGCTTACTGACAGCTTTCTGGGGGCTTTAAACTCTTATCGCAGCCAGTGTTTTACGAGTAAACTCCAGCTCAGCTCGCACTGGATCCATTCTTTGCTCAGACAAGGCTTTCTGGAAGCTGTTTACCAGAGAGTGTGCCTGGCGTCACAGAGGATACATGATAAATAAAACGCGGTTTGACCTTGGGCACCCAGGTGTCCCAAACACACACCTCTCATCACAGTGTGGGGCACACAGGCCAGACGGTGCCTGTGAATGGCTTACAACCAGGTGACAGATGTGGAATTAAATAAAAGCTCGGGAAGCAGTAGCAAAGATGAAACCTGCACTCAGACAACTTTTCCCCTGGGAACCCCACACAAAGCCCCCTCTTCCCCCCACCCTCTCAGTGGCCTCCCCAGCAGAAGCTTCCCTCATTAAGGAAGTCAAAGCTGGATAAATACATTTTCTTTTAAATACACTAATTGCATCTGCCGCCGGTGCTACCTAGTCATTTAAATTCTTTATAATGCTTCCAGGTTGTTTAACGACAGCTTTGTAGAGCAGTGTGTAGACGAATGCTCAACGAGGACTACCAGGAAAGGGAGGAACGTATATAAAACTTTCATGTCGGGTTTCCCTGGTGGCGCAGTGGTTGAGAGTCTGCCTGCCGATGCAGGGGACGCGGGTTAGTGCCCCGGTCCGGGAGGATCCCACATGCCGCAGAGCGGCTGGGCCCGTGAGCCATGGCCACTGAGCCTGCCCGTCCGGAGCCTGTGCTCCGCAACGCGAGAGGCCACAACAGTGAGAGGCCCACGTACCGCAAAAAAAAAAAAAAAAAATCTTTCATGTCGAGCATTTCTATCACTTCGAATCATGAAAGGTCATTTTTTGGATTCATAATTTAAGGCTCAAGTGAAAACTGATCTTCATATAAACATTACATTTACTTTGACAGAGTCCAAAGTGCTATAACATTTAAAGTGCGTTTCAAAATGGAAAACCTTCGTTATCCGTCCCCTTGTCTTTTTCAGACGGTTTCATCATCACGAGCTTATTTTATACCAACAAACTGTCACTGAGGTTCTTTGGCCCCACCTACTGTGCCTGGTATTTTTGCATCCTCTTCCACCTTGATGCTTCTAAAATGCTTTTGAAACTATCAACGTTAACAAAACTGAACGGAAGGCAAACAGCTATGCAGAAAACTTAATGTTAGGCTTTTAACTGCATGGGCTATGACTATGGCTGTTCAAAGGCATCCCCCTCCTTGCCTTCTCTCTTCCCCACTGGACGGTGCTCAGCTCTACAGGCACACCTGGGAGATACTGCAGGTTGGGTTCCAGACCATCCCAATAAAGTAAATAGTGCAGTAAAGCGAGTCACACACATTTTTTGGTTTCCTGGTGCATGTAAGAGTCACGTTTCCACTATACTATATTAACTACATCTAAAAAACAATGTACCTACCTTAACTAAAAGTACTTTATTGCTAAAAAATGCTAACCGTCATCTGAACAAGTCATGGTAATAACAGCCAAGATCACTGATCAGCATAACAAATACAGTAATAATGAAAGAGTTTGAAATATGCAAATTACCAAAACGTGAGACGGAGACATGAAGAGAGCAAATGCTGTTGGAAAAACGGTGCCAACAGACTTGCTGGTCACAGGGTTGCCATAACCCTTTAATTCGTTTAAAAAAACGCAGTATCTGCAAAGCGCAATAAAACGAGGTATGCAACACTGACCAAGCCCACGTCAGCCCTCTGCGTTTTCCAGGTTCTCCCAAGAGAACTGGGGCGAGCACAGATTCACCCAGCCCATGCTGAGTGTTGTGGTTAGGGGAGTGGAAAGACCTTGGGAGACTGTACTGGCCACATATGGGGCCTAGTGGGGTTCATTCTATAGGAGAGGCCGTCACAGAGACTCGGAAGCTCTAGAATCACAATACATACCATCAAACCCAAGACCTGAACTACCCACTCCTCCGTGCTGCGTTCTTAACCTTGGTCCTCACCCACCTTATCTCATCCTCTTTCATAATTCAAGGAGGCCAAGCCCTTTCCATCCAGCCTACCCAAACTGGTTAACCAAAGGAGAGAATAAGTGTCTTCAAGGCTGCTGCAAACCGAAAGAACAAGAAGGCAGGCTCCACCAACAGCACACAGAACCACAAAAGGAGTGCCGCTCGCTGTGGGAACTTGAGGTCCATGAATTCCCTTCCCCAGGACAAGCCATGACAAAGCTTTGCTGGATGCTTGCAGACCTTCGGAAGGTGAGGTAAACCAACAGGTGAGGTAAAGCACGCAGGGAAGATGCGTTTACCTAGAAGAGCACTGTCTTGCCTGGCTCTGGCTAAAATGAAACCAAAGAACTTCCAAAGAGCTTCTCCCTTTCCAACTACACAACCTCTTCACAGAATCATATAGCATCCTGCCAGAAGAAAGGCCGCTGGAAGAAAAACCCTAGGACCTCGGAGGAAATCTGTAGCTAAAAGGAATCCTTCTTTTATGGTCTGGCATGTTTGGCTAGGTAATTCTCCATGTGTTCCAAGTCCCTCAGCCATTCTCACTGGTCGTCTCCACCCCACCAGCAGACACACATAGCTCAGGGCACCCCAGCTGGAGGGTCTCCACCCACCAGGACTGGCCGCATCTCACAGAAAACCAGGAGGGAAGCCAGCTCCATGTCTTCACTGTAGCCGTTCTTCAGAGGAACAGATCTAAATCCTGCAGAGTGGAAAAAACAACACCAAGGCAGGCAGTTAATGTCACACCTTTGCTTTCTTGGAGTACCCAGGGATCACATACCCAGTACAAGGAGCAGAGGAGTCAGTGCCCCATGCTGGGGGCTGACTTCCTTCCTGGATGCCACAGGTCCCACCCTGATGGTTGGGGAGGGAGGCTGCAGAACACAGCCTTGACTGACAGGTCCATCCAGAGAAGTGAAGTTAAAAATACCCGTCATCTAGAAATGAAAATGACTCACTCAGAACGAATTAAAACCCACAGAACATTGCACATTGAATTCAGAGCGACTACAGCTGTAGTTTCAATTCCTTAACTACTCCTGATGAGGCCAAAGACTCAAAGGAGTAATGAATCCCCACATTCAGTTTCTGCACTTAGCCCTTTACAAAGCTTAGGACGAGGGAGCGTTTTCTCTTTAAAGATTTCCAAGGGGAAGAAATCTTCCTGTCCCCTGGCAGTTCACAGCAGCATTGATCATTCTCCTCTAAAAGCCATTCCCAATTTACAATTAGGACCTGTGTCTGACGGTCTTTTAAATGTTTCTTTTTATTTAGGAGAGGGTTGAGGTGGGGCTGAATTCCCCCCACCCCTCCCCATTAAGTAATGTTTAAGGCAACACCTCTCAAAGTTGGTTGGTTTGCTTGTTTTGATGAAGTAGTATAACTGAATACACAGTAGAAATGAAAGTCTCGCTTCCACCCACTCATAACCCCTTATTCCAGAAGGAACCACTGTTAACAGTATCTTTCCAAAATAGCCTATGCATATGTTTGTTTCCCTTAAAATCGCAAAGGATAGTACGCTGCCCAGCAATTCTGTACCTTACAGTTTCCATTGACCACTGTATCTTAAGGATTTACTATATAGCCCTAGTGTCACTTTGAAAGTTTTTAAATTGAAATACAGTTGACGTACAATATTATGTTAGTTTCAGGTGTATTACATAGTGATTTGATATTTGCATACATTATGAAATGATCACCACAGTAATTCTAGTAACCATCTGTGCCCAAAGTCAGTACAATATTACTGGCCATATTCCGTATGCTTTTATATTATATCCCAGTAGCTTCTTTGTAAGGAGAGATTTGTACCTTGAAAGCTTCTTATTTGCACTGTATCTACTGATTGTCTGGGACAAGCAACGCTCAAAGTAGGGCATGTGGGCTAGTTTCTCTGTGCCTTCCACCACTCAGGTTTTGGCTTGTTTGATGACTAGTCTTATTTCTCTTAGAGAACCTTTTTTTAGTCTGTCAGTTGATTTATCACCTTTAAATAATATCTATTGAATCCCTCACTTTCCACTGCTAATGATGAGGAAATTGGCATGCTTACGTAACCCTACAGCTTCTCTCCCTTTTCCTCCCCTAATCTGGGTAAGCTGTATTATTATTTCTCCATCAACATGGTGTGTAATATTTGTGTTCCATTTTGTAACCATAATTCTCCCACAAAGGGAGGCTTAGTTCTGTAAAAGAACGGGACAAGGAACACTTGTATACTCACAACCTAAATCTTACCATTAACCTTTACTATACTTATGTTTATCCACTCACCAATCTATCATGTGTGATATTTACTTCATATTTCAAAGAAAGATGAAGGCCTCTGTACACTTCTCCTTATGTCAGCATGAATCTCATTAACAAGAAGTCAATATTTGTTCAGTGTCCCTTTTGTGATATAAAATTTACAATGAAATGCACAAATTTTTAAAAATGTCCAATGCTCACCACCTTCTTACTGAACTGAACTTTTGCATCAATATTTTGGCTGGCTAAATTTGTCTTTTGTATTCTTGAATACGAGCTCATGGGACATATACTCCCTGGACTGTGCATGTGTGAACACATCCATCCTGTGATTTTATACTTGAGTGACAGTGTGAGTGGGTATAAAACTCTCAGGTCACACTCTCTTCCCTGGAGGATTTTGGGACCACTGCTCTCCTTGAATTTTGCTGTAGAGAAGTTTTCTGGCCTATTTTCCCCTTAGAGGTGTTGGGAATTATGGTGATGTGGCTCGCCTGTGGGTCTTATTAAAATGCAGATGCTGACTCCAGAGATCTGGGATGGGGCCGAGATTCTGCATCTCTACCGAGCTGATCTATGAACAGTGCGGAAGCAGTCAGTCTAGGTATTGATTGATGTTAGAACGTGCTGAACTGCTGTGCGCTGTGGCGTTCTGGGGAGCAGCCCGTGCACCCCGAGCAAAGTGGTGCGGCCCAGCGCGTGCCTCCAAAGTTGGAGAGGTGAGCTCTGTCCCTCCTTCGGCTGGACGTCTCCAGTTCCACATACCTCCTGTCACTGCTCAAGCCTCATTTTTAGGAGCAGCCCTTCACATAGATTGGGAGTAGGGCTGAACGGTGTTTGCCAATTTCACTAAAAATAGTTTGGTTCCGTTTTTCTTCTTACTGGTTTTGGTTACATCACAGAGGAAAGGGAAATAGAGACATCTTTGGACGTAGCATCAGTATTTTTGGCTTATTAGGAGTAGGGGAGGCCCTGAGGGTGGCCTGCGGAGTAGGGAAGAACGTGGGGTTTGAATCCCAGCTCTGGTCGGAAAGGTGCGTGACCTTGACCTAGTTAATTAACATCTCTAGGCCCAAAGTGCTTATATTTAAAGAGCGGAGATGATAAAACCCCTTTCACAGGACTGCTGTGAGGATTAAAAGAGAAAGAGTTTAAGGCAGCAAGCACAATAAAGGCTGCTTCCTTCTTTCCCGAGCTCCAGCTGGCTTAAAAGCTTAAGTGCGTCTCTAATGACAACGGGCAGAGTTTATTTTCGAGTTCGATGCCTTATGCACAAAGGTATTGTTATTCTGTGTCACGCCTTCCATGAATATGGATGTACGAGGCAGTGCTAGCAGCGGGACAGAGAGAGGTCTTACTGGGAGCATCTCACAGCTGGGGGAAGGGTCACGTTTTTTATCATCCTTGAGATGTTGTTTTTTAAATCTCTCCAAGCTAAGCCATACCATTTTCTAGATGATTCAACAGGACACTGTTAGGTGGCTGGTCAAGAGGGTTCCTCGACTGACCTCTCTCTAAGCCTTGGGAGGGGCTACGGTTCACATCCCTCCTCAGGGACCCCGTAAGGAGGGGGAAACAGCAGAGCCACTGCTCTGTGCAGGATGAGTCCAGGGGAGGTGGGTTAGGAAGGGGTGGGCACAGTTACCACAAAAAGAAATATGTCCTAAGCCTTACTTATTGGGCTAATGTAAAAGAGGCAAATCGCAGAGTAAAGTCCTGTGGCTAAGTTGCTGGGTTTAGTTTCCAGTGGGGGCAAGTTAACCAAGGGGGCTGGCAAACGTCAGGCCTCTTGGACCTTCCAACTGAGTGTTCACTGCTGTCATTAAATCAGGAAGATGGTACTTCTTCTCAAGTTCCTGTTTCATCTACTCATTCGCTTAGGACTGTGTTTCCTCGATAGGACGGGCAGCCTAGGTCTCACCCGGTTTTCTCCGAGTGCCCTCTGAGGAGCTGGCCACACATGAAGATTCCTGGGCCCACCCAGCCTGGCTGAACGGGAACACCCTGGGATGGGCCTGCGTTTTCTAACTGGAGCACCCCACACACAGGTCTAGTTGTAGAAATGATTAGGTGTGTATGATATAAATGTAGGGACTATCTGGTATGTTCCAAGTTTAGAAAAAATTTAAAAAAAAATAGGAAACAGGGCCCAAGGTTTCCAAACAACATCAAGAGAAAAGACTGTGATCTTTGGCTCTCGAAAAATGACCCTTGGAAAATAGGGGAACAGTGAGTGACCTCGTGAAGACTTTAGAAGGATCTATGACTGGGGTCTCTCAGAAATACAGGGCCCTTCTCAAAGCAGGAAGGGGTTTCGTGTGGGAAAGGAATCACAAGAAGAAGAAGTGAGTCAGCCATCCCAACCTCATAGAAGAGGAAGGTGGTGCTCGGACAGCCCAGGTGACTTGCCCAGGGTGACGTGGGGAAAAGCAGGCCTAAGACTGTAGTTCCGGGTCTCTTCCTTCCCCGGGAGCAGCTTACCAGCCCCTGAACCTGCCTGAGGAGAGGCCAACAGCTTCTAACCTTCCAAAAGGAAACCAAACTACAGTGCCAGGTGGACCGTCAACTAATAATCCCGTTTTGGATGCAGAAGCCCCACTGTGACCAGCCCGGCATCTCATCCTGCCACTTGCCGCGGTCCCTGTCCCAGCTCACGGGAACTCCCACGAGATCAGCTGTCCAACCTGCCCATGATTTAATAGAAGCCAGGAAAAAGGCTTTTTCATTCTTTTCAAAGCCAGCAGCCCAGACCCAAAAGGATGCCAATCCAAGCCAAACGTTATCATTAAAACGGGTCTCACCTGATTTGATTCCTTTAATGGGGAAAGTGGCATGCGCGAGAAAGTTGGGGTCGCTGAACATATCTTCCTCGTACACCACAAAGCGTAGAAACGCGAGGTTTGGGTCATAAATTTCAAACGTCACCTTCTCCTGTGTTGGAGCCCAAACAGGGCTTAGGCCGTTGTCATCTGGAAGGAAATCCAAGCTCACTTAGAGGCCCCATTCGTCCTGCCCCCTCTTGGTTACACCATCTCTACATCCATTGGCTTTGCATCTCCGTAGCAACGGTGTAAATACACATCTAGGCCAGGAGCTAAGAAATAATTTTTTTCCAATGCCATCACAGGCCTGGCCCTCAGTAAGCAGGGGGGAGGCGACCACCGCCCCTTATAGATCTCCCACCTCAACCCCCTGGGATTGGGGGGTGGACAGCAGTGCAGGAACAGGTAGGTTTGGACAAGAGAAAGGAGACATGGGAGCCACATCCCTCGTCTGATGGGGGAGGCGGGTTAGGTGCTCTGAAGAGATAGTGGGATTTGGAGTTGCCAGGGGAGACCCAGCCTCAGGGAGTAAGGTAGTTAACTTTCACCCTCCACAAAGGCCAGTTTCACTGGTCAGCACGTGAGCTGTTCATCGGGCTACCTTCTACCAGGGACGGTGGTCCCAAGCCTTAAAAGGCCCACAGTTCAGGTTTTTCCAGGCCTCAGATGGCAGAACAAGCATTCTCTGGGCTTCCCTGCTCTCTGCGGGTTAAGATCACCCAGGTTGGGCTGCAGCCTTTTGGGTCAGGTCAGCCACATCCTCTCTTAGCCCTGGACTCAGTAGGTAAGCAGGTGAGGGCTGATGCACAGGTGAGAGGGAGCTGGAGCCTTGCCGGGGCCTCCCAGAGTTACAGGCTGAGAAACACAGCAGTGGGTCCATGTCCAATTCTTTCATCACGTGGCCCTTTGTTTCCTCCCCCCCCCACCCCGAGCTCCCCATAGCAGGCAAGGGGGATGAAGGGAAAGACCTGGACACCAGTGCATTACCGCATCCCCGATGACTAGCATCCCCGACCTGGGATTCAACTTGCCTGAAGTTTAATTGAAGAAAGGACCCAGCAACTTACTCACAACTGTTGTTTTGAACTTGTTGTTGTCATATTCGGCTCCGCATATTTCCACCTCCACAAAGGGACATGCAATACTTCGTCCAGGTTTGGGAAGATGACGAGCCCCCAGAACCTAGGACACCAAACGCAAGGATTAGAACTCTCCCGGCTCCATCCTGGGCAGAGCCAACAAGTTCCACGTGGGTGGGTTCTCATTTCTTCACTGGTGAAGTACTAGACCCTCCTACAGTGGACACCCCTACTGCTTCCCTTTTGTGGATGAGGAACTAGGGGTGGAGAGTCAGGGAGGATTCCCACAGCTGGTAAGGATAAGCTGGGATGGCAGCCCCAGTGCCAAGAGACTCAACAGGTGGACCTCACCTGTGCACAGAAATGCATACACCCAGGCCAGCACCTACAGAGATGGAGTTCAGTCACTCAATTTCTCAGCCCCTCCCAGGAAAGGATGGGGGAGAATGTGGAATCCTTTTTGTAACAGGCCTTTTTTTTAAAAATTTTTAAGAACTTTGGTTATTTATATATGCTTCAGTTTTTCTTCCTTAATCTTATGAGAAGTGCAGTTCATTTCCCTACCTTGCATCATTTCCCAAACGGGAGAAAACAAAAACTCTAACAAAGAGACAACACCTTCTCTGAAAGTTGGACCAGTTTAGAAAAGCTTTCACCCCTCAAAGTGGCCACGATGGGGACAAGCTCTCTCCTCCACAAAGACCAGAGAGCCACTTCTCACATGTTTGATTCCCCTTTTTTTCTGACCAGATGCTGACCTCACAGGGACCCTGGTGAACCCAGCCAGAGACAGATTCATAGCTCGCCCCCGCAAACAAGGGGAGGTGACCAAGCTGGACCTGGGAAGGTGCCCTTCCCTCCCCTCTTCCCCTGCAATGACCGTGGCAGGCACTGCAATTAAGATCCTGAACCGTGTCTGGGTGTTGACGGTTTAAACCAGGTGACCGGTGTCGTCAGGCAGCGGGCTGGGCCATCCCCACGCTGCACAACCCCGGCCCCCTGCGCCAGGAAGGAGGGCTGGGCCTTACCTTGACCGTCAGAGTCATCAGGATTTTCCTCTGGGACTCAGGCGGCATGGGGTCGTACTTCTCCGCCCTCATGCTCTCGGGCTGCAGGACATAGCCAGTCCGCCCATTGAGGGAAAACAGGGCGTGGTTCATCTGCAGGTACTTATCTGGAGAGGAAAGATAACTGCTGATGAAAGTGAGGCAAGAAAAGGGGCCCCAAGGTGCTGGGTAGGGGATGATTTATACCTTTTTCCGAAAATAATTTGAGGCAGCTGTTCAAATAGGTATCAGACTCAAAAATAGGGGTTTAAAAAAATCTATTGAAAACCAGTGTTACGGGAAGAAAATGTGGGATTAAAAAAATCTCAGACTGGGGACACCTTTCCAAGTAAGATACAAAATCCACAATGTATTCAAAGCTAAAAATTGCCGCAAAGAACAAAATTTCCATAAAAGTTGATGTGCTGTAGAAAAATCCATTTAACTCAACTGACAGGTGAATATCTACATATAAATTTAACCTGTTGAGAAATCTGGTAACTGTGTCCTGTGAATACCTAAACCCCCTTAGAAAAACTGGGTGAGAAGCATGAATGAAGTCTGCGGAAAAGAAAACACAAATGCGTCTTAAGTACGTGAAAACCTGGTTAATGTTACTCATAAAAAGAGAAGTTACCAGTAAGGGAAGCTGTGACTACAGTGTAACATCAGTTTTCACCTATCAAAGACTGAAAAGTTTTGCTAAAACTAAGTTGGTCAACTTTTGCCAAAAAGGGTGTAAACGTCTCGCCCGCTCGCACTCCTGCCTGCAGTCCCCATGGAGAGCAGGGTGGCTAAGTGTCTTCGCTCAGACCCTCCTGGATACAGGGGTGCAGTGGTTTTCCTCAGGGCCAAGTTGATCAAAGCTGTTTGACCCAGCCTGCACTTCTGAGAATTCTGCCCCACAGACATGCTCCCATATCTAAAGTGATGCTCACGTAAGGTTACAGGGGGTAGTGCCGTCTGTAGTAGCAAATGAAGGGAAAGTGCAAAGCATCGTGATTAATGCCACCCTTTGCCTAAAGAAGTTGGGCGTGTTGGCCTTTCCCAGCATATGATTATCTCCAGAAGACAGCCTGGACAGCAAGCCCTCAGAGAAGGATGGGCCCGGAGAGGGGACCGGAAGACAGCCACTGAACACCTGAATCCATTTGCCTGAAGCTCAATTCCTAGACTTTTAAATTACGTGTGTGGATGCATTTCCTTTCTCTCTTAAACCGGACTGACTTCGCGTCTGTCACTTGCCATCACGGAGCCCGTCACACAAGCACCTGGCATGCCCAGGGGTCCCCGTCATCACTCTGTTCAAGGGGATGGGCCTCGCGCTAGCAGGCTGGCTGAACTCTGACAACTCCTAAGACACCCCGTCACACCGGTGGCCCCAGCAGACGGTGCCTGGAATGATGCTCCGTCGTCTCAGACTTATTGGCCACAGTCAGCCCCCTTTTACCTGGTGTCTGGAAATTGAGTGCCACCATCTGGGAGCCACACAGCCAGAGGCGGAAGGGGTCGTAGTTGGAGGAGTCCACCCGCTGTCCCTTGGGGTAAATGCGGGTCAGGCCCTTTTGATTGTATTTCAAGAGATCGTTGGGTTTCTGTCTGACGATGCTGTCAGCCTTTGTCTCCACGAAGGAGCGGATTTCTCGGAAGTCGGGGTTTTCTGCACAAAGAGAGGGAGTCGCGTTTATTCTGTGTCTCGCACATTTTCTTAACGCCTAATGTACTGGCGGGATGTGCAGGTCGTGAAATGAAACCAGGAATCTCTCCCGGATGAGACATTCAAGTGGTTATGACGATACTGCCATAATTGGTTCTGCTGTGGGCTTTCCCCTCCGGGGCCGGGGGCGGGGGCCGCTCCCAGATATTAAGAGGGAGCCCAGTGTTCCCACAGCCTTTTAGTCTAGCATTATTGTAATTTACTTTTTGTTTAGAACTACCAGCAGCCTTGTACAAGAAACCACAAAAGCGGTACAGTTACAGAAAGGAGTGGGGGAAATGGGATCCGCAGGGAGGAGGAGATCTGAGGAGTGGAAGGTGCGGACGTTGGATCTGTTCCTCATCAAAGGTGTTGCAGGCACAAGATGAGTGAACCCAGCATCTTGGTGGAGGGAGAAACGAATGCCAGCAGGAAGGGATGTGACAGGAGAGGGGATGCCTGTGTGGGTGAGGGGACAATGAATGGGAGGAGACTTGTGGGAAAACGCAAACAATCCTTTGCTTGGATGAAGCTCTGCTGCTTCACATCCAGCTGTGGTAGGACAGCTCTTGCTCTTAACACGCTGAGCGTGGCCGCGTCTGGTTCAGAGCTATGACATCTTTCCCTGCGTGTGGAGGTACCCAGGGACCAGCCTCCCAGTGACCATTAATGCTGAGGTTTAGTACTGCTTCTCTGGTCCTCTGCCTTGGAATTACAGATTCTGGAGATCAGAGACACGAGTTGCTCAAAAGGAGGAAGAAAATATGAACAGGACCATTATTAGATGAAAGAACTTGCTACTTTGGAGGATTTGGTAGGAGATCCATTTTTGCATCCTTCTGCAGCAGGCCAAATAATGGCCCCCAGGGATATCTAGGTCCTGGTCTCTCGAACCTGTGACTGTGTTCCTTATATAGGAAAGGGACTTTGCAGATTGATTAAATTGAAGGGCTTGAAAGGGGGAGATTATCTGGCCCTAAATGAAACCACAAAGTCCTTATAACTGAAAGGTAGAGGGGGATTTGACTACGTAGAAGAGAAGGCAATATGACCACAAAGGTAGAGACTGGAGTGACACGGCCACAAGCCAAGGAATGCCAGCAACCATCAGAGGTGCAAGAGGCAAGGAACAGATCCTCCTCTGGAGGGAGTGGGGCCCTGCTGACACCTTGATTTCAGCTCAGTGATACTGATTTTAGACCTCGGCCTCCACGACGGTGAGAGAATAAATACGTGTTGTTTCAGCCACCAAGTTCTTAGTAACTTGTTACAGCAGCAGAAAAACGAATCCACCCTTTAAGAGGGTTTGCCTTCTGAACATACCAGAAGGGCCTGTTTCACCAGCATCCTCGCCCTGAGGACAAACTGAAGGGGAGGTTCCCACTTAGCACAGTTAAGACGAGTAGGAACGCTTTTCACAACGCCAGACTCAAATGGAATCAAGAGTTTCCCCCTAGGTTGGGGGGCAGAGTGATGGGAGACGGTACCTAGGTTGTCCTTGGTCTTGCTGGTTGGTTTGCAGTAGACGACCAGGTCCGAGAGCTCGATGGCGATGGACTGGTTCTTCTCCCAGTACTTCATGTTGTTCTCCTGTGTGGAGCCAATCTCGAGTTTCAGCCCTCAAGCCGGCACCTGCGAAATCCCATCCTCCCAGCACCTGGCAGGCGTCTTCCTCCTCTGGGTCCCCTCTTCTCTTTGGCCCTCACACATGCTCACATCTTAAATGTGGTGGAAAGTTCTCCTCTCCCCTGCCCGTCCTCTTACTTTGGAAATTCTCCACCAAGCTGTCTCCACCCAGGATCGCTGTCCAGCTCAGTCTCTGACCACAACTCTCAAGAATACAGGGGAACGAGGGCTCTTCTTTGTCACCACCCCTCTCTCAACCCTCTGTTCTCGGCGCGCTGCCCTATCCCTCCTCCCGAAACCACGCTGTGACAGTTTGTCAGATTCTAGTTCTCAAGCCCAGGACCGCTCTAGGCCATGGCCTCCCTGTGCTCACTCGCTGTCCCCTGCACCCCACCTCCCTGCAACGTGCACCTCGCTTTGCAGAGGACTCTCCACGGCCCGGGCCACACACCAAGGACTTGGGAGCCACTCGCCCTCGGAGGACCCACGGTCAAATCCATCTCCAGGTAAGGATGGGCTCTCACTCCACTCCAAACCAGACAACCCTCTCTGGCCTCACCAACTTCTGACCCATCCCCCCATTGGCCAAGCGGGGGAACCCTAGAGAGAATATCGTTCACAGATGGTAACATTCACCATCCGGGAGGTTGCTTAGCTTCAGGCAGTGCACACTAAGTGCTTGATGGATACTATACCTAAGCCCACACGTCCCTGAGAGGTACAGTTTATCTCCACTCTTCCACGACATTACAGCACACACAGAGGTTGAGTAGCTTACCCCGGGCTCCACAGCAGGCCGAGACCAGATGCTTAAGCAATCGGCCTCACCTGTGTTACCCCTCTGCTTCGCCCCCTCTCCACCCTCAGCCACCAGGTACGGGAAGAGGCCTGTCTGAAAGGCCGCCAGGTTCACATCCCAGGTCCCTCTGAAGCACAGCGACAACGTCCTGGCCCCTCATCCTGCCGCCCCCATCCTCCTCCCTCCTCTGCAGGTCCGTCGGATTCTGGACGCCACCCAGATCACTCCTTCCCCAGGACGCCTTCCTGGGTAACTCCATCCAGGCCTGGGAAAGAGATGCTGCATCGCTCAAGCCTTCCAGAATGCCCACTGCCTCACCCGGTCTTGGCCTTGCACTGTCTCTCGTCCGACTATCTATGTTGGCGCCTTTCAACACTAGTGTCCAGACCAGTGTCCACACTGAGGCACGTCCCTTGGGAGCAGGACCCTGCAGGGGGTGAGTCTTCTGGTGACAGGTGGTGATTTGGTGACAGGAGCATCACAGTGGTTACAACTGTGGGGACTGGACTCAGAGGCGGGTTTGAAAGCTGGCCCGATTTGCTGGCTCTGCCGACGGCACAAGTCACCTAGCCTCTCTGTGCCTCTGTGCTACTGCAAAATTGTAGAACAGTTACTCTCCAGACCCACAGACTTTGCCCATAGGCCATCTCAGAGTTTGAAATCACAACACACTTCATTGGTCAGGCTTTGGAAACTCACTAACTAGATGAATCCTAGTGACTGGTCTTCTGCCATTTGACCAAAAGAAGCCAGAGATGATGTGAAATTACAGAGCCCTGAGCAGGTTCCTAGGGCCTCGGTGAGGAGCTCCCAGCAGTGAGCTGAGAGCACACTTCGTGTTGCTTTCCCAGGGGCAGCATGGGTCCACCTTGCTTGTTCCCACACGGGCAAGCCCTACAGCTGGTTGTGTTCAGAGTGGAACCTTTGTCAATTCTGCTGACTCCTGTTCTGTTTTTTAACATTCGTATGAAATGTGATAAGACTAAGCAGATGTAAAAGCTAATTAAAAAGGAACATAGACCAAGGCAGAGCACAGCAGCCTTCCAGAGCTAGGCTTAGCCTCAGAAACCGTCATGTGCTGGGGAATGAAGGGGACAGCCTTCAGGTGAAGTCACATTTTCCTCCATTAAGAGAAAGGGAGAGAGCCAGGAAGCACCCGGCCGAGGGTGTCATCGCCATGCCCCTTCCCTCCGAGCCCCACACTCAGAGGGGGCGTGAGTGCCTGAGAATAAAGTGGCTAAAGGCTTCCTCCTCACTGGTGTTTTTCTCCATTCTCAGCTACACGGCCCTAGAGTCCCAAGTACTAGAAGATGCTCAGGACAATCACATGCTCGCAAACGGTGCCGTGCAGATCGTGACGACAGCCACTCAGCCGACCATGAAAACACACGCAGAAGAAGACAGGAGGAAATCACCTCTCAGAGGAACCCCAGGACAGTGGCAACCCCCTGGGCCTCGGAGCCCTACTGCATTGGAGGCACCGAGGGCAGATGAGGTGGCCCCATGGGGGAAGGGGGGAACAGCCTTCTTGGCCACAAGCGCGTGGCTCATCCCAAGTGACTGATGTGATGATGTGACAGGTCTTGTGAAGAATAAGGACCCGTATGTAGGGCCTCTGACTAGATTCTGGGATGGGGGAAAGACGGCAGGCCCTGCCAGGGAGGGTGCCCATCTGAACAGCTCTCGGCACAGAGTCTTCGAAAGAAGAGGACTTTACTCCAGGGTGTCGAAAGGATGAGTCAGGGGGCCTCTGGTGACCACAGACTGGCCAAGCTGCAAAGTCCCCCACAGGGGGAAGAAAAAATCCAGCCAAGTACACTGGAGGAGGGAGACTCATCAATTATAACCCGAGGTCGGAGGGATCCAGGAGGTCCTGAGAAAGCCTTGAAGTCAGTCCTAGAAGCAACTGGGTACATGGGAAACCCTAGAACTTCTTCCCAGCTCCGTGGCCACAAGAAAGAGCAGACAGCCCCTTGCTCCGTCATCCAAGACACAGCAACACTTCCCCATGTCCTCCTGGCATGAAGACAACGTGATGATTAAATCCTGTGGTGACCTGAGCCCTTGCCGTGGGTCAGGCTCTGGGCCAGCACTTTCTATGCATCATCTCCTTTCATCTTGTGAGTTAGGTATCTGGCTCCTCATTTTACTGACGAGGAAACTGAGACCCAGAGAGATGTGGTTACCTGCTCAGGGTCCAACCCTGCCAGGATGCAAACTCCAGTTGGCTTAATTCTGAACCTCCTGTTCTTACCTAGAACCTCGCCCTTTTCAAAAGGCCTCCAGACAAACCCTAATGCTCCGTTGAGGATAAACCCTCAAAAGCTCATTCCCATCAAGACTGGAAGTTCCCCCCACAAGGATACAAACTTCTGGAAGGAAAGGGCTGTGTCTTGTCGATTACAGTATTCCCAGGGCCCTTTCCAGTCCAGAGACGTGAGCTCAGTGAACGTGCACCGGAAGGATCCAGGCTGCTTTGAACAGTATTAAGAAACAAGAAAACTTTCCAAATGAGGAAGGCAAAACTTTCTTGTTAAGACACACAGGACCCGACAGGCCCCAAACATCAAGGGACACTGCACACACCGTGAGCCTTCAGGTTCAAAGGTTCAAACCAGACCCAGCTCCGCAGGTGGACCTCCAGTACCCATTTCCTCTCCGCAGTGCTCCTGTCGTCTGAACACCCCCCCTCTAACCCCCGAACTCTGTGGGGCCGCTGGGCCTGCTCCTCCGGCAGCCCAGACCCACCCCACCTCAGCAGAGTACCACAAGCCTGAGAATATCGGGCCCACCTGAGCCCAGGTAAGCAAAAGGCTTACCTTGGTGTCGATCTTCCAGGTGATCTCCCGGATGCTCTGGAACCACTCAAACAGCTCCTCCACCTTGTCTGTGGCGAACTCCACCGGAGGGTCACCCTGCTTCTTGGGCTCCAAGATAAAGACGAAAGGCTTCTGGTTCTTCCCCTGTGGGGCCTTTACTTTAGGAAAGGATAACAAAAGGCCTGATCAGCCTGTTAGAAAGCCAAAGAAGACCAGATTTCCACTTCCCCAGGCCACTTCTCTTATGACCCCAACCCAACCATCATTGTCAAAGCGCTGACCGGGACATCTACCTTGTATCGGGTAGCGGTCCACGTCTTAATGTGCAGTTCCTGTCAATGTGACCTTATTTGGAAATGGGGTCTGTGCAGATGTACGGAAGGATCTCAGGATGAGATCATCCCTGCATTTTGGGTAGACCCTAAATCTAGGAACCAGTGTCCTTCATCAGAGAGAGGAGAGGGAATTTGAAGCAGAGACCCAGGGGCGTTAGTTGGCCATTGAAGAGGGAGGCAGAGACTGCAGTGATCAGCTCAAGCCACGGACCGCCAGCAGCCATGAGCAGCTAGGCGTGGAATAGGTCCTCTCTACAGGGAAAGTATTTTCTGGAAAGAGAAAATGAAGGCTACGAGAGGAGAAATTATCGGCCACGTGATATCATCAACGAAGATCTCTGGGCTCGCACGTGCCAGGCACTGCTCTGTATCTTCTTTAAGTCTAATCACAGCTTTTTGGGGTGCTACTCTTGTTCTGCCCATTTCACAGGAGGGGAAACAGAGACTCGTTGAGGCAGAGTAACCCACGGAAGGTCACAGAGCTGGTAGTGGCAAAGCTGGGGCTCAAGTCAGACCTGACTCCAAGCTCCCTCCTCATCACCCTGAGCCACGTGCCTGTGCAAGTTCAGCGCAGGATGATACAAAGGGTGACAGCAGGGAGGGCACGAGCCCCCGGTGCCCCAGACCCAGCTTGTCTCACAACTCGCAGTGGAAGCTCAGGCAGCTTCTGTGGTCACTACAGGGCTTGGTTTTCTCATCTGTTAACTGGAAATGGAACCAAGAATCCTTTGCCCACCTGCCTAGGCTAGTGGGCTGACGGACTACAGGAGGCACGGAGGCCGGCTATGGAAACACGGGCTGCTCAGAGAAGAAAGGCGCTCTGGCTTCTTGTCCAGAAAGTCTCTCCTCACTGCCTTCAGCTCCTTCGTCTGGAAGCTGCTATATGCTCACTTCAAAGGCCCAGGAAGCACCATGCAAATTACACCCCTGCCACCATGGTTGAGGCTGTGGGCTCCCTCCTGCACCAGACTCTGAGGGGGAGGCCAGGTTTCCTGACGCCCAGCTGAGCTGCCAGGAAGCTGCAGCTCTGAGAGGGGAAATGACAGGCCCAGGGTCTCGCAGCAACTGAGAAGCAGAGCTGGGCTAAGAACCAGACACCCCCAACTCTATGCTCCACTGCAGCCCAGACAACGTCTCAGCTCCTCCTAGAAAAGCATGGGAGACCCAGGCAGACCCCTGCAATGAGGACGATGATGTTGGGAATAACAACAGCCACCATTAGTCCAGCACTTAATATATACACACCAGGGTATATAATAACACCAGATTATAGCGCTTTACGGATGTTAACAGCATAGCAATCAAGACGTAAGATGACAGTCATTGACTAGCTTGGCCCAATACTCAGCTTCAGCAACCAAGTCGAAGCTAGAAGGACCCAGGACAGCTGACCCCCTGTCTGGGGCAGTCCTGAGGCCAGGCTGGGGGGAGATTTGGGTGGGAATCTGGGCTGAGACCATGTGTGCACGTACCAACGTTATAGGTGTTGAGATCCAGTATTCCTCTGCAAAGAGACCCTAAGGGATTGTCTTCAATAATCTGTGAAGAAACAAGACATAACTCACGCTCGTCTTAAAGGGAATAATGAAAAGATACCAGTTTCCAAAGTATACCGTTGAGCAGAGGCACTGCCTCTGGAACTGTTTAAAATGCACTTTCATCACAGGCTACGTCCACGGGGAGAGAGCTAAATAACGAAGCATGTTGCTGGTGGGGACCCAGCAGCGAGCAGGTGCTGGCAGGTTCAGCGTTTCATTTTCCAATCTGTAAAAAGGCGCCTTGTGAATTCCAGAGCAGGTTTCGAAGCATTTCCGTGGATCTGGTTTCAGAAACACCCTAGACCCTTTCTTCTGACATTATCAGGAAATGGGACTGGCCCCCTTTCCAAGCCCAGCTCAGGAACCTTCTGTGGCTCCCTGTGTCCTATGGGAGCAACACCTAAGCTCTGCAGTCTCGCCTCAAGGCTTTCCGGGCCCTGCTCAGTCTTCCAGCTCTTCCTCTCGCGCGGCACATTTGAACCATCCCAGGGGTCAGGTGAGGTGGGGAGTTTCCTGGTCTCGGGAAAGCTGGAAGAACTGTGTATCTGCCCATTACATGTACTACCCCACCCCTCCCCCAGGCTAATGCCGACTGTGCGGGTAAAGGGCAATGCGGGATGGACACAGCTGGGGGGGGGGGGGGGGGCGTTCCCGTCCCTGCCTCAGGCCGAACGCAATGAACAAAACTGTGTTTCCACTACCACACCTTTGCTTAGGCTGTACCTCCCACCTGCAGTTCCCTTCTGCTGGTCTCTGGCTGCTGAACTCTAACTTGACTTTTAACACTCAAAGGCCTCTTCCTCCATGCAGCCTTCCTAAAGTGCCCCGGGTCCCTTAGAAGAAAGTCTAAGATTCCAGCCTTGGAGCACTGCTGTCGCACTGAAAGTAGCTGCTCTTCGAGCCTTCTGAGCAAGAGGCAGCGGGGAACAGAACCCAGGTTTGCAATGTCACCAGGAGGGCCTGGACGCACCTTTCCCTTGGGCCGGCCTGCTTACACCAAGCACCTTCTGAATGTCAGCCTGGCCAAGCGAAATGTTTCATTCTCAAGCTGCTTGGCCGTGGCCGTTTTCACTGCGGAGGGAATTCTGCATGTGCGAAGCCTTCCAGCCCAGTGCAGCAGCCTGATTTAAACCTGACTGTCTTGTCACAGTGACCGTCACCCCCAACTCGGGGGACAGTCCCAATTTCCCCGTCACTCTGCTGTCCCTGTTCAGGAGCTCCTTGGGGAACACAGGACAACGCGTACAAAACGTGCAGCTGGCTCAGTGGACCCCCCAGAATAGGATCGGTGGGTCCCGCCCTGTGATGAACGATGGAGACTCACCTGCTTTTCCAGGTCCTCCCCGTCAGCTGTTGAAATGTCTTCAACGTAATTGGACGGGAAGTACTGCTGGATTCTGGTTCCGTAGTCTCCTTTCCACCTATATGGAAACACAGAGGGGATCAGAGGGCCTTGGCCGAGCGATCATCACTGCTCACTAGCTCCCAGCCGATGGGGGAGGGGGAAGGGGGCAAGTGACTGAGTGGCTGGAAGAGGGGGTCGTTATCTGTGACAGCGGAGCCTATCAAAGGGATCCTCTGCTTTTTTTTTTTTTTTTTTTTATCAGCAGTGAGTGCTGGAGGTCATGTCCTCCCCTTACCATGATCCTAGTGTTCGGTCAAAGCCACCAAAAGTCAAAAGTTTCAGTGCTTTAAGTGGACATCAGACGCCATACAAGACGAAAGCTCAGCTCTAGCGGAGGCCCAGCCCCCTTTCAGGGAGGGCCGTGAATTTAGAGACAGGGGTGGGATAAGGAAGGTTCTGGAGCCAGACGGCCTGGAATCAAACCCAGTTCCACCATCAGCTACGAGGTGTCTGTGCCTCAGACCCTCCATCTGTACGTGGGGATCATCCCAGTGCCTCCCTTATTGGGACTATATGAGTTAACATACACTACAAGCTTTGAGTAGCACCTAGTACATATTAAGCGACCAACAGTGTTGGTTCTTGTTACTCAGCTAAAATCGTGCCCCCCACCCCTGACCTTCCCACCTCTGTAGCAACACTAATAACACGAGACATAATCAACTTTTGTACGTGTCTTGATTCAACCAAACTGGCGGCACCTCCAAGATGTGCCCCCAGGTCCGGTGCCTGGACATGCAGGGCTCCTCCTCCAACCCCTCTTGTGGGCCACTTTCTGCAGCCAGGGGGCTCCTTCCAGAATGCACCTCTGACCCCACCATACCAATAGCTCCTGAGGCCTTCAAAATTAAGCCTAGACTGTTCAGCCTGGCGATCAGAGCCTGGAACGCTATAGCCGAAGGGGCTCCTGGACCCCGACTCCTACCTCTCTGTGACTTGAACCTGATATTCATTCCAGACCACCTGTGGCCACCTCCCCCATGTGGCCCTGCCATGCTGTCTAACTTCTATGCCTTGGTCCATGCCCTTTATAGTCAGCTTGCTCCTAACCATTTAAGACTCAGCTGGGGCCTTCCTCTTCCAAGAAGCCTTCCCTGACTGCCACCTCGGCTGAGTGCTGTTCCTCTGTGCTCCTTGGCATCTGTTCCCACAGCCGTCAAACCAGTCCGCGCCTTATATTTAACTTAACAGTTATACATCGGTCTTCCCCTCGACGTGAGACCTTTCTCGGTCTTAATCAAATCTATCCCCGGGGTCGCTTAACAAATGTTTGTTAACCTGAACAAGCAGAGAGGACTGACTGTCCCACGACCTGGTGGAAACACAGAATTGCCAGTTGTGAGCCTCTTTCACACTCTTTTCACCTTCATTTCTCCAGACCCATCTCCAGCAAAGTCTGGCTGTATTCAGGGTGACTGTATGGACCATCTGCCCAGAACTGAATGGTTTATACCTGTGGTCCAGATGTAGTGTCAACACTGCATTCCCTCCACTCTCAAATGCATCCTGGTTTGAACCACAATTATTTGGTCCTCTAGTATGGGAGGATGCAAAAAAATGTGGACTGAGGCAGACATCCCACTAGGTGGCAATACTGTCACCAGGGAGAGAATAAGAAATGAGGGGACCTCAGCTGGACATAAGGTCTACCCTCAGTCCCTCACTAAAGGCACTTACTCCAGTCTCTTAACTCATCTTGAGACAAGATCTCTGGGGATCCAGGTAAGAAGTGGGTTGGAAAGAGGGGGTTCTCCAAATTAAAAAAACAAACAAACAAAAAGAAAGTCTGAACACCTCTGGATCTAGCACATGAGTAAGTAAAAAGTGTGGCCTCTTGAGTCAGACGGCCTGGCTTCAAATCTCAGGCTGCTGTGTGTCCCTGGACAAGTTACTGCACACTTCTCTGTGCCTCAGTGTCCTTGTCTGTAAAATGCAGGTAAGAACAGAACCAACCTTCTAGGATCACTGTGTGCATTAAATGAATTATTTCAAATGAAGTGCTTAAGACGGTGCTTGACAATGCTCCATTCAGGCTGCTGTTCAGATTTCTAAGTCAGGTGCAGCTACCTTGCAGGAGGAAGAGGTGCCAATTCTGTGAGGTGCTTGAGTCTCTGCAAGTGCTCATGGTTATGAACAAGTCCTTATGGCTCTAAAGTAGGAATCATCCCATGAACCCACTTGCCTAGGGACATGGATGGGCAGAGAATTCTTATTCCCAGGTGAAAAAGGCGAAGAGATAACTCAACCGTCAAACACCCAGGTGCCTTTGGCCTAAAAATGTACCTCTTCAGTCCAGGATGGGGCCATCGCATAGGGCACGGGACTAAGCAATAGCACAAGAATTTGAATTTAAAATAATGCACAGGCTTGTGCTGTTTAGTAGCTGGACCTTGGAAAGCTTCATTCACTGCATCTATAAGTGGGGATGATCATAGTCCTAACTCTGCAGGGTTGTAACAAGGATTTGGTTACTGTATGAAAGCAGTCAGCATAGTGCTTGGCACACAGTAAGACCTCAAGAAATAGCAGCTGCTATTATAATTAAAATAATACATAATAAGATATGATAATGATATGATAAAGGACATGAGAATTGTTATTCTTATTTATCCACTTTTCTGAATACAGCATGCATCAGTCACCTTCCTACAGAAAGTACAACAGGTCAAAGCCAGCCCAGAACAGCAGATAAAGGGGTCAGAGCTCCCCTCAGCCTTACCAGCCCCCAGGCTCCTTGGAGACATTGTGGATGAGGGCGCCACGGCAGAAGCTCAGCTCATCGTTTTGTTTGGCTTTGTAGTCATACAGAGCTTTCACGGTTCTCTGAGGCTTTCAGGGAAAACAAGAGGGTAAAGGTCAGGCCAGGCAACAAGAGCAGAAGGAGGCGGCTGCATTTTCTGGCACATTTGGTTCCTCTCAAAAGAGAGGGAGGCTTTAGTCCAAGGTTACCGCGCCATCTGCTGGTGAAGGGCTGTCATTGCGAGGGAGCCACGGCCCCCAGGACGTATACCAGGGAGTGGGGATGGGGACTGGCCTAAGTCAGAGCCTAGGGCACCTCAGAGTGAGCCAGTATTGCTCGATTTCCTCAACAAGGAAAGCACATGCTTTTCACATTAAGCCACAACCTCCTCCTCTGAAGTCCTCAGTGCCTGTGCTCCCGGAAGTCCATCCTCCCGGAAGTTCAAGCTCAACACCGTTTCTGGACATCCCCAAGTCTCACCAGCATTTTCACCTAGGCCAGTGATCCCCTAACTAGGCTCCTGAAGGATGCTGACATTTTGCAAGAGTAACTGAGGTGCTCCTCCGTGAAATTCACCAAAAGGAGGTCTCTGCACTGGCAGAAACAAGACAGAACTTAGGACAAAATTTCTCTTCAGTGAACCTGCTTTAATGCCGGCTGCTTGGCAAGCATAAATCAATGACAAAATGAACACCCACACACACAGCAAGCAAACACTAACAGGAAAACCTCAGAAACAACCAGCCTGTTTAGATCCGCAGCCGCCCCTCCCCCAACCCAAGGAAATGGGGATGGGGGTTTTATAAGGAATCCATAAAACTGCTCCTCAGAGCATGGGCCATGGAGTCAGACACGTGGGTTAAAATCCTTGGTGTGCCCCTTCCTTACCAGCTCTATAATCTTGAGGCGCTCTCAGCCTCAGTTTCCCCATCTGTGAAACAGGAATTAAAACTTTACATACTTCACAGGGTCACTGAGACTATTAAATGAGATAATGCACGAAAGGATAAAAATGACAAGAGCTAGCATTTCTTAGTCAAAGCCCTGTTCTAGGCCTTTTATCTATAGTATCTCCTTAATCCTCACAACAACCCTCACAGGTAGGTAAGCAGTAGGAGTATATCCTGTTTTACAGATGAGGAAGTAGAGGTACACAGAGGTACACAAAGAAGTATCCTTGCCCAAAGTCAACCAACTGGTAAGTGACTGAGCAGAGAAAGAACCCATTAATAGGAGTTACTGCCATAGTTCGTGATGTTCCATAAGAAGCAATGTGGGTTTTATGAACTTTGCCATAGGAACCTCCCACCAGAGCTTTCGCCCTTGACTCGCCCACCTGCAAACAGTGCAGGCTCTACCTGTGCATCCTGCTTCCAGGGCAGACTTAAGGACCAGAGCCACATCTGACCCCATGAAATCCTACAGGTCAGTGCCAGACTCCAAGGCCACAAGGAAGGTATAGCCAGTGGCGGGGGCAGGGGGGCCATATAACGGCTTCCAAAGGAGCAAGTCTCCAGCCTGACAGATGGCAGGAGAGGTCCTCATGTCAGGTCCCTCATGAACTAGAGAAATGAACCACCACTGGATGACCAAGCGGGCATGTGGCACAGCAAACTGGCTAAGAGTGCACTCCTGGGAGCACCCAAATCCCAGCTCCACACCTTCCTCAGCAATTATTCAACCTCTGTGTACCTCAGTTTCCTCATCTGTACAACGGGCACAAAAATGGTACCTAATGCCTGGGGCTGTTATGAGGAATAATGAGCCATCGTGTGCTTAGAACAGTGCTCGCTATGTGGTCATCAGTGTGTGTCAGCTGTTATTACTGATCTAATCACTCCAGTTCTAAGAGCTCATGTAAAGGACATAAAGCAAAAGATACAAAGCCTCACAGGCGAGCAAGTTCAGTTTAGTGTTAATGAGAAGAGCACAGCCTAGAAACAACCCAAATGGCCACTGATGGGGACACAGCCAAATGGGCACAGTCACCCAGAATATTCTACAGCATAAAACACACTCTTTTCAAGTTAAAATTCCAGTCCATGTACTTCATCTAAATTGCTTGTTTTCCCAGGTTAAACAAAAATGGTCATTAAGTAGCTTAGCAGTGGAGAAACTCAACCTGTGGCCAAGCAGCAGGTGTACAAAGCAGAATAAAAATGGCAGGTGCTGGTGGTGGTGACGCTAAAATACACCTCCACGCGGACAAAGACGAGAAGGGACGGAACCCCCAGAGACGCAGACAGCTACTGCACTGGGATGGTGAGACCAGGGCTGGTTCTTTTTCTTGCTTTCAAAGTGTTTTCTTTAATTGTTACATCATTTTTTCAGTCACAGTAATAATAATTTTATTTTGAAGCACTCACCATGGTCTGGCAGCTTGCGATCAAATTCTGCATACAACCATGTCTTACTTGGCTCACTGAGTGTAGGAAGACTTTCTCTACAACTTGGTTTAGTTGCCAGGATTTTATAATGGGAAGATTTCACCTCAAACATCCAGATTACTGGCTTGTCTCGAGAAATCAGGAGACCCAGCCTGATCTCTGGAAAGGCAGCCATCGACTCCTAACGGGGGGCGGCTGCCCTTGAGACGGGCTCTGTGTCCCCAGTTTACCGTGGCCTCCACCAAACCCTGACACCTGGCTGACATGAGGCCATGTCGTTCTCATGACCAAAGCATCTGTCACTTCTAATAAAAGTTTTTGCTATTTAGCCAAGTCCCCTAATGCCTTTCACACCCAGTTCCATGCACCCACAACTTTTCAAGACTTCACTTCTTGCTGAAAGGGATTTGCATTGGCCAAGGATTATAAGTTTAAACAACTTTCTCTCTGGATTTCTACAGAGCCCACCAGCAGGGCCCCTTCCTAAGTGAGAACTGTACACTAATCGTGTACCAGACAGCCCCCCAAACAGAAAATTCGCCGCAGGCTCAAACTGAATTTGAGATGAAACCAGGAGCTGCAGGCTAACAGTAAAAATCCAGGCCCACCTGCATGAAATTACAGAGCAGCTGGGGTGGGAATGTAAGATACCGTTTGCACTGCAAAGAGGTCACTGAACCAAATGAATTTATGAACACCACAGGCTCAGTCACTTAGCAAGAAACATGTGAAAGACTTTTAATTAGAAGCTGTGTGGCCCAAAGGTGGTTCATCAAACTTCAGAATTTTAGCAAAACACAGTCGCGTTTGGATGGAATTCTATTAACCTATTCCCTGAAACTAGATGTCGTATTGTCAATCATCAGTTTCTTCTCAAAAAAACATTTTGGGGGGCCAAGTTTTCCAAAATGCTCCCTTACCCTCTTTTAACTTGGGGGTGGGCCCCATGTCAATCTAGTGACTAAGGAATAGCGTGAATTGGAAGTTTGGCACCGTACCATGGAAGGACTGATTTCACTGGGATCCACATACATCCTGCTGACGTCATAGAGGGAGTTTATATCTCTTTCCTGAAAAAGAAGAGAGAAAAATAAATGGAGCTATCCAAGCTCCCGGGACAGCCCTTCCTTAGAACAAGGATGCTACGCACCTTTGTGGTTTCCTGCTCTCTAGGAGAAGAGCTGAAACCTCACAGTTTACTCACCTTGCAGGTGGAGACAGTAAAAAGCTATTAAGAAGTTCCCCAAAACTTGGAAATTTTACCCCAAAATGAGAGCGGCCCCCATGTGGGCCTACACTGTGCCAGGCACTGTGCTCCTACGTAAGAAAAAAACACACACCCTGAGATCCAGTGGTGTGCTGGAGCGAGCTCACCGCTCTTCCTGACCGCCACTCAACGTCACCAGCTTGACGCTGGCCACCGTGGGAGTATTTACACCACAGAAATTGGCAGATGCCACAAACCAGGGCTTTGTTTCACAGAGAGGTGGGTAAACCTCCACCAGCACACACTGAAGATCCCTCCTGCCCTTCCTCTGCCTCTCTCACTGGCCTTTAGCCCCACCAGCCACATTCCCGTCTCGTGCACCCCTGCTCCCCCACCCCCGGAACTGGCCTCTGCACAGCTTCCCGGCCAGTCTGCTCCCTGGGCTCCCTTGTCACCCTCTGCAGGAGGCCTGCTCCCACCTCTGTGGCCCCAGTCTAACGAAGTGCCCCATCCCTTAGCACACCATCCTGTTTTCTCTTCTTCGTTGTAACTCACCCTGCCCGGTGCGTGTGTGTCACCCAGCTCCCTTTTCTAGAGCCCAAATTTCCCAGCGGCCGATGGTGTTCCACCATACTCCCAGTATCTAGAACAGTTCCTGGCACATGGTTGGTGCACAGTAAATCTCTTTTCAATAAGTTAATGACTCTATCTGATAGGAACTGAGACATGGTAATCAGATCGGCTGTCTTCTCTGCTCAGAACCCTCCCAACGGCTCAGAATAAAAGCCCGTGTCTCACAGTGGCCCTGCACCACGCAGTTCTATCCTTATTTAGTTCTGCCCCCGCCCTGGCTCACTCACCAGCCACAGCAGCTTCCTTTCTGTGCCTTCAGGCACGCTCTCACCCCAGGACCTTTGCACTGGCTGTTCTTTCTTCTTCCTCATAGCTGCAGGCTCCCTCCTCCACCTCCTGTGTCTGCCCACGTGTCTCCTTGTCAGCGAGATCTTCCCGGGCACCCTTGAGAAGTGCAGCCCCTTCCCCATCGCTCTATCCACTTATCCACCTGCTCAGTGTGTTTTTCTCCGTAGCACTTATCACCCACCAGCTGATACATGCTCTGTATATTTTTTTAAATTTCATTTGTTGTCTGTCTCCCCTACACTAGACTGTAAGAGCCCAAGGGCAGGGTCTTTGTCCACGCTGTTGGACGTAGAGCCGTGTGGGACACACGTAAGTGCTCAAGAAAGGTTTGCTGAATGAACAAACGGATGAATCGTAACCTCAGACAAGATATTCCACCCAATCTCGAGTGAGTCAACCACCTACCATATTGTAACGCTCCAGGAGCTCGGGGGTCACGGGGTAGCGCAGTTTCATCTTCCGGTAGAGTGCGTGCTTCTCGTAGTAGCTGACCAGCTCCACGAGACTCTCGAAGTAGGCGGAGGTGCCCAGCACGAAGTGCCGGCCGTCCCGGTTGATGCGACAGTGCTTCACCTTGCCCCTGGCCCTGGGGGGAGACCACATGGTGCTGACATCCTGGCAGCCAGATGGTGGCCATATAAGCCCACCAATTAGAAACAACCTAGTCATCCAACCTAGGGGACCAAATAAATGAAGAGCACACAGCCCTCCCATGGAATACAATGATGTAGGTCTTTGCAAAACAGATACAGAAGAACCGGTACCTCAGAAGAAACACTTCAGAGTGACTCAACAGCTATAGCTCCTCTGGCCCTTCCTTTCCTCCCCAACTATAGGACTTGACTACAGAACACCCCAGCGTCCAGATCAGGGCCAGAAAACTATGGCCCACAGATTAAATCCACCCCCCTCTCCTGTTTTTGTAAATAAAGTTTTATTGACGCACAGCCATGTTCATCTGTTTTACTGCCTGTGGCTGCTTTCACTCTGCAACGGCAGAGCTGAGCAGTTGCAACAGAGACCAACTGGCCTGCAAGGCCTAAAATATTTATCCTTTGATCCTTTATAGAAAACATTAGCCCATCTCTACTGGAGAACTCTGGGACTTGATGCCCCAATCCTTAAATCTTATCTTTAGTGATCCAACTAGTGCACAAATGGAATTTTTTTTTCCAAAAGGGGAAACAAATCTTTTATTTCCTCACCTATTTGAAACAAGAGGCAGAAAAAAATCCAAAAGAAAATAGAATCCTCAGTCTTACTAGCTTTTATCAGCAAGAATAGAAATATCTGTGACAGTAAGTTTGACCCTAACTTTACAGCCAAGAGCACTTGAAAACTGCAACAGAAATAGTTACTATGCTCAAACTACTTCTCTTAGAAATTTTGCACCTTAACAGACATTTTTTACTGTTTTAAAAAATACATCCCGTTAAGCCATTTCTTCCAAAACTCCTATTTTAAAAAAAAATGCTAGGAGACTACTTCTTCAGTAGCTTACGTGCAATGATATTTTATTAAATATTTATTTTAAAAAAGAAAAGAAATACTGCTGAGTAAATAAAACAAGTTGCAGAATGAAGCTATAGTATGATCCTATTTGTATTTTTTTAACGGAACAAAATACCACTAACAGAATGGCGCTATATATTTCCCACAGGTACATACATATGTGTGTTGTAAAAAAAAAATTTTTTTTGAGTCTTGATGGAGACGCGAGTTACAAAACTATGCTTTCTACCAAAACAAAGATTGAGATGGCAAAGACCATAGGTGGCTTTAGCTTTCACTGCAGTATCTTAATTTTTTATAAGGCTAACAGACTTACGTAGTGAAAAATTAATTTTAAAACTTTATACAAAAGCTCCGCAGGGCGGGGAGGCTCTGGGGTACCGAGGTTAAGAGCATCAGTCAGGTTCTGGCTCCTGCCCCAGGTAACCTCCCTGAGCCTCAGTTTCTTCATCCACAGATCTGGGGATGCACAGCTTCTGTCTCAAGGTAAGTGTCAGGACTGCTGTCTGTTAGGTAACCCAGGGTAAGCCCCTTGCAAGGTGTCTGGCACCCAGAAGAAACTAAAGAAATGGATGGTTGGGAAAATATACACAGGCAAGCCAAAACTTCCCTGGGAGACAGAACAATCGAAAGGGGAGAACAGGGCTGGAGTATGAGCCTCCCGGAGTGTGTTGCTATGAGCCAGTGAACACTGACGCCTGAGGGCTTAGCTTCGCGATGAAGCCCCTCATCCCATGGAGGGGCGCCTCCCACCACTCACACCCAGAAAACAACCTTGTCTCTTTGCATGGATTTGAAAGCAGACACTTCCCTCCTGTGGAAATCCATACAGAAGGTTAGTATATGTTCCCAGGGCCTAGAACGGGGCCTGGTACAGAAGAAGTACCCCCACAGATATATGGGGGGAGGGAGGAAGGAAGAAGGGGAGTCACTTGTAAGTCCTGTGATGACACCTCTCATCCCCACCAGACCACTGGCCTCATGAGAGCAAGGGCTGGGCTGTTTTTATCACTCCTGAATTTCTAGACCTGACCCAGAGCAGGGGCTTATCAAACATTTATAGATTTCTGAAAAAGAAAACCTCCAGCTCTCAGGGTGCCTCCAATCTCATGGGGAGGACAGATGTGCAAGCAGAACACGGTGGATGTATATAAGCTGAGTATCAACCTGGGAGCCCGCCGCTTCATCCATGCCTTTCCAGTGACCCCAACCTCATCGCCAGCTTGAAGGTGCCCAATCAGAATCAAGTTACCGGGCTCAAGCAGGGGCCAGTGGGAGTACCTCACAAGACTCATCCTCTCTGTGGACGCTGTCCTGGCACCTCAAGGTCAAGCGAGAACAGAGCCAATGGAGCATAACACCGAGATGCTCAGAGCTAGTCTCCTGAGGGTCACAGACGAGGCTTGTATCCGAGTGTGTTGGAGGCCAGTTTCACCTCTTGGGCATCTCAGCCTGTAGCCACTAAATCCCCACCTTTTTTCTTTCAGCCACAGAGTTTGGTTTCTGTCCCTTGCACCCAGAAGCACCCCGACTGACGACAGACTATAGCACAATGCGACCCCCAACATCCAGCCCAGTGCCTGGTACAGCACAGATTCAATTAAACACATTCAACTCCCATCCAGGGGTAGCAGGCACCGTAAAGAGTTGTGGGGAAAAGAGCAAAGAGACCCCTCTGTTGGCGGCACAAAGCACAAAAGAGCCACGCTGGATGGAGCTGGCACACAGTAGGTCCTCAATAAATAGCAGTGATAATGACCATCACCACCCCCAAGAAGGCATCTCAGGGCTAATGGGGGGATGGGGGGCAGACTGGAACAGTAGCCAAGGGGGATGGGTGAGGGCAACAGGAAAGGGAGGACAGGAGCAGGCTGGCACACCAGGGCCCCGACTGTGCAGCCGGTAACCACCTTCACCACGGGGAACCGTGGGCCCAGAGCTTCCAACTCCTTCCATTTTTCATAAGAAGCAATCTGAATTTCCAGGTAAAACTTCTCTGTTTTTAACATCACCGTGCAGGCTGAGCAAAACACCCAGAGGCCCAATTTGGCCCACAAGCCTCTTGCTTAGACCTCACAGTAAAGCACGCAGGCTCTGGAGGAGGACAGGCCTGAGTCTGAAACCCTGACTCAGCCTAGGGTGAGGCTGTGTGGCTTTAGACAGGTCAATTAACCTCTCTGCGCCTCCATTTCCTTACTTGTAATAACTGGATCTACCCCTCATGGGCTACAGTGATGGCCTCGAACAGGTGAGGCCTTGAAGGCGGCCCAGTGTCCCAAACATCAGTTAGGAACTCAATATCTGGTAGCCAGCATTCTATTACCATCATCAAGAATACACAGGGAAACCCTGAAAATGGGGAGACGGAGGGAAAGTATGACGAACTGGGTCTGAACCTCCCTCACATTGCTTTTGGTAGAAATTGGAGGAATTGGGCATCTTGGGGTAGAATTAACGTAGAGAACCACAGTCCTAGAAATGGTTGGTCCATACAACCACTGGCAGTGGGGTGTCAACTGTGGATGGGAGGAAACAACATCTACAACATCACCCATCTGGGTTGCCAGGGCTGCCTGGGTTCGAATTCCAGCTCCACCACTCACAGACTGCATGTTTCAAGCAGGTTATTTAATCTCCCTGTGCCTCAGTTTCCCCCTCTGAAAAGTAGGGATCACGGTCATGCTGATCCCACAGTCGTTGGAAGATGAGATGAATTAATATAAAACACAGTGCTCCTGAGAATACAGACCAGCGCCCAGCACACTGAAAGCACACGTCAGTATAGTCTGCTCTCGCTCTTTACTATCGCCATCGTCGTGGTTGGCAGACACCCTGGGCGGAGGACACAGAGCTCAGCCTCCACCTGCAGTTCCCCCTTTGTTCTCCACACCTGCCCTTCCCAAGCCGTCTCTGCAGAGCACACAGGGGGCTCCAGCCCGTGCACCTACCTGAAGGTGATGGCGTAGGAGTCAGAACCTTCCCGCTTCCGGATCAGGAAGGCCCCATCCCGGGGAACCCTCATCAGCATGTCTTCCGCTTCTCCACGGCTCAGCCCGTCATAGTACCACCTGCAGCACAGGGCCGGGAAAATGGCCAAGGGAGAGGCCGCTGAGACTGGCAGCAGAGGAGGAAACGGTGGGTTCCCGGGATGCCTGAGACACGGCCCTGGAACCCACCACGGAAATTACACAGTGGGCCTCCGCATCCGAAATCACCTCTGAAGACAGAAGTTTTTAAAAAGATCACCCAGACACAGTTTGGGTGAAGCGTTCATGCAGTGGGTCTGCTTGGAGCATAAGCGAATAAATCAACTTACATCTTTACCCACCCCGACCCCCCACCCCCGACCCAAGCATCAGAGGGCGGCACAGTCACCACAGTGTCTCAGAACAGCAGAGGCAGAAAAGATAGGGAATAGGGTTTTTAGGTTGTTTTTAAAGATGTGAAATAGCAAATTTTACGGCAATCCATCTGAATATGGACAAGAAAAGTAAAAAATAAAGGTGTCATAGCTACATGGCCTCCTGTGAAATGTGCATTTGAGCAGCCTTCTGCTTAAAAATTACTCTTTGCTTTTCACAACTAGTCAACCCTTTGCAAGGCCTAACTGATACTCACTTGACAATTATTTTTTCGCTTTCAGACCAAAAGGAACGAGCTTGGACAGAAAACAGTAACACCAGGCCAAAATTATCTCTGAAAATCAACGCTCAAGACCTCAGGACCAGGAAGATAAAGGAGAAGAAAGGAAAGGAGAGGGAGAGGGAGAGGAGAGAGAAACAGGCCATAGGTAACTGGACAGCGGCCGCCCTGGGGAACTGCAAGAGACCCCGGTGGGCCCGGGTGAGGCGCCCCGTGGGAATCTGGGCCCCAGCACACCCTCCAGGCTGGTGTTTCTGATCCGTGAACGCAGTCGCGCCCCCAGAGCACAGGGCACACGTACGGCTTCGACTCGTGCGGGCTGGGGTTGGGAACTGGGTCGGTGAGCCGGAGCTCGAACTCGGCACAGCGCAGGTGCGTCTCGCTGTAGTGCTGGATGAGGGCATAGATGCTGGTGAACATGAGGTTGTCAGTCAGGTAATACTTCAGGGTCCCGCCCTCCATGGTGGAGCGGATCCGGCAGTGCTGGACGCGGCCCGACCGCCTGCCGGGAGAGGGACCACGTCAGAGCCCAGGCCCGGCCGGCTGGCCCTTCCCGCAGCCGGTACGGCAGAGAGCACAGGGTGGGCCACAGCTGCAGCCGGGGCCCCCAGGAGTGGACGCTACGTGCGGCCACACAAGCCTCCGTCTGCTCTTAGCACCGGCCCAGCGCTTTCACACAAGTTGATCCTTGGGGCTGGATTCCAGACCATTCTACCTACTTCCTCTACCCGCCGTCCCCTTTTACCTACGTAACTGTTCCTCTGGAGCCAGACAGCCTAGGTTCCGATCCTGACTCTGCCACTGAGGAGCTAAGTGACCGTGAACAAGTGACCTGTCCTCCCTGAGTCTCCCCCTATTATTACCCTAGTGGTCCAACAAGGACAATGATAGTATCCTCCTCACAGAGATGTCCTGAGGATGAAACGAGATCACACACAGCATGTGCTCGGAACGCTGCCTGGTACCTGGTAAGCATCTTACAGGCGTTAGCTGTCGCGATTATTTGTATGTTGTTAATATTAGAACTTTTATCCTTCAGGTCTCAATTTAAACACCACTTCTTTCAGGAAGTCTTCCTGGATTATTCTCCCAACATCACACTAGACCCCTCTCTTACAGACTTCCATAACGTCTTGCGCTTTTCCCACTGCACATGTCACAACGAGAATTATGTATCATCTGCCTGATTCCTTTTCCACTGTTCATCTCCCTCCTGAAACTCTAATCTCCATCAGGACAAGGACCCTGTCTGTCTGTCACTGCTAAGTCACTGTGCCTAGCACAGAGCAAGTACCCAATAAATAAATATCTTTTGATGAATTCATGCACAGATGACTGAGTCAATGATGAGTCAATACAGCCTCACCCACAGTTCCGTAAGGCCACTTTACAATTTTAAATACTGCACTGAAATATTGCTCATCTTGTTGACTAAGTTTGGGGGCCCTCACCCAAGACTTGCCCCACACAGCTCACTAAGTAAAGTCTGGGTTTCCAGCCCAGCCCCACCCAAGTCTGGCCTAAGCTGCCACCACTTGCCTCACGGCACCCCACCCCACCAGCCGCGAGGAGAAGGCGCGTGCCCCGGGGAAGACGGCCATTACCAGAAGGACAGGGTGTAGTCATTGGGGTACGTCTCGCTCTCCCGCACCAAGAAGGTCCCATCCTTGCCCCCCGTCTCGGCGCAGTATTCCTGCAGCAGCTTCTCGGCGCTTGTCCTCTTCTCCACCTTCTTGTGGAACCACTTCTCCCCGAAATGCAGCTCCGTGGGGGCTATATCCTGGGCCGCAAGGAGAGGAGGGGTCTCTGAAAACCCGGACCAGACCCCCAGTATCATCAGACTAGTCCCTCTGTGTGTGCCGATTCCTGAATAACAGACTGGACTGGATAACAGACCAAAAACGGCCTCAGCTCACTTTTACCCCGAGAGGTCCGGGAAGCCAGCCTCCACTGCCCTCCCCACCCCCCAGCCACCTACTCCTGACACCTCCCCATTTGTGGTGGCCTCCTGGAGTTCTGAGTCCCGGGATAAGGGGTCCCCAGTACAGCCCTCAACTCTACTGTACAGGAAGCCTGAGAGCCATAATACCGTGGGGGCTGCACTCAAGGGACAGTACCAAGGATGACCAGCAGCCCCGGGGGGGAGGGCAGGAGAGCCAGGAACAGGCTAGTGGGTAAGGCTGGACAGAACATCCAAATGTCCCCATCCTCCCCAGGGAGCACAGGCGAGGCACGCCTTTCAGAGAGCAGGAAAGACACCTGAACCTCACTGGCTAAGCACATGGGCCAGCCAGCCAATCCGAGAAGAGCCAGGCAAGCCTCGGTACCCGAAGAGGCAGCTCCTTGGACTGAGCATGTCCAGGCCTGCCGGCCACCGGGTGAGAGCAGCATTACAGGAGGTGTCCACCTACCGGGGGCTGTTCATCTTCCATAGTCTGTTCAATGTCATCGCTGAAGGACAGCTTGGCATCAGCAATGGCACAGTAGTGCCGAGTCCATTTCTACAAAGTGAAACCAGCGTTAGGGCTTCCCCAAAGTCTCTGCTCCATCAACTCTGAGGCCCAAGGCCCCTGCCTGGCATCACCCCAGCATCCACTGGGAACTCGCCTTTCCTACTCTTGGAGCCATTTATGGTGGTTTCACAGAATTCGATCCCCTGTGAGACATTTCTTTTAAAACATCTATTTATTCTGGGGTTCTTCTGGCATTTTCAGGGCTTCTTTATTCAGGGTGTCTAAGCGTTGACACAACGTAGTATTGTATTCCTTTAATCTGAAGGCTTTTACGAATGATGGGATTGTTTTCTCTGTGTGTGTCCTCACGACTGTCTTTTTCTATTTCACCCATTTTTTAAGACTTTCAGGATTTCTCAGCCAGCCTGTCTAGAGACCCTTTCTTCAACATTTAAATGTGACTTAATTCTATATTTAAATTTCAACCATTTTTATTCCTAGAATATAAGAATAGACATGTAAAAACATACTCAAATGCAGAAAGACAAACATAACATGATACCACTTAATATGTAGAATCTAAAAAATAATGCAAATGAACCTAAACACAAAACAGAAGCAGACTCACAGACGGAAAACAAGCTTAGGGTTACCAAAGGGGAACGTTGGGGGGAGGAATACATTAGGAATATGGGATTAACAGATACAAACTACTATACATAAAATAGATAAGCAACAGGACCTACTGTATAGCACAGGGAACTATATTCAGTATCTTGTAATAACCTATAATGGAAAATAATCTGAAATACATACATATATATATAACTGAATCACTTTGCTGCACACCTGAAACTAACACACCCTTGTAAATCAAATACACTTCAATCAGTGAATCAATGAATTGATCAATACCTACTCAAATAGATTGCCATGTTAGGTTATGGGATATGAGAAGTGGCATTAACATTCAAAATGCCTCATTCCCATCAAAAAATAATGTTTCCTTGGGACTCCCCTGGCAGTCCAGTGGTTAGGACTCTGCGCTTCCACTGCAGGGGGTCCCGCGTTGGATCCCTGGTCAGGGGAACTAAGATCCTGCAAGCCACGTGGCTCGGCCAAAAATAACAGTAATAATGTTTCCAGTGGAACTGCCTCAGATTGGAGGACACTAAGGGGTTAGGACAACGAACTGCATTATCACATCCGAGATTGCATCCTGGGTCAGAAAAAGGACATGAGTGGACAAACTGGAATGAGGTCCACAAATTAGTTGGTAGTATTGTGCCCAATGTTCAATTCCTTGTTATGATAATTATACTCTGGTTACAGAGGATGTTACTATTTGGGGAAACTGGGTGAAGCACGTATGAGAACTCTCTGTGCTTGTATGTGTGTGAGAATCTAGAGTATGTCACATTGAATATAAAACTACTTCAAAATAAAACACTAATGATGCAAAAGAAGAATAGTTTCCTTAAAATGACAAATTCACTTGGCACAAGTGGGAGTGAGACAGGAATCCTCCCGGAGCTCTCCAGCAGGCCGTAACACATTCAGGGCTCTGAGAAGGGGCGCGAGAAGACGCACCTGGTCGATGGAATCCCACATGTACAGTTCACCCTGCTGCCTGTGTTCATCTTTCTTGTCCTCCACGTTGACATCCACGTCGCCTCGGGGGCCCAGCTTCTTATGCTGAGGGGAAAAATACACAAAGCCTGTCTCCCTAAGACCCAGGTTAGGATCTGTGAGCCAGCAAACGTTCATTCACATCAGCCAGGCATCCAGCGGATCGTCCCACCTCAGGGCCTTTGCACTGTCTGTTCTCTCTGCCTGGCTTCTCTCTCACTACACTGCGCTCTGTGCTCGGCGTCACCTCCTCAGAGGAGCTTCCCTAAAAACAGCCCACACTCCCCCTCCCACCCCTGCCACTCTCTAGCCCCTGGCAGTTCATCTTCACGCTCTTTAGCCTAAGTGTATCTACGTATCTATCTGTCTTCTGTCTGTCTTCCCTGCTAGATTATAAGCCCCATGAGGGCAGGGACTTTGTTTTGTTCCCTGTTGAACCTCCTGCACTAGGTTAGCAGATAGCGCTCGATAAATATTCAATGAATCAATGATGCGCCCGCATTCTCCAGCACACAGAGGGCAAGGCAAGATCACAGCCAGCCCATGGGCACAGGCTGTGCAGGGCAGTGGAAGGCACACTGGGGATGTAGATTTAGAAGACCTGGGTGCAAACAGCACTGCTGCTGCTTTATCGGCTGTGTGACCCTGAGCAGGTGGCCGCACCTCTCTGAACCTCTCATGTCTCATCCGCAAGCCTAAGAGGATGATTACGACAACGTCCACCTGGGCGAGTTCACTGACTGCCCATGTGGACTAGCCTTGATAAGTCCCAGTTGTGGTGACCTGGTGGAGGGAGCTCAGGATTGGGAGTCAGACCTGGGCTTGAATTCAGGGCCTATCACCTTCCTCGCTGTGTGGCCTTGGCTGCATGACAATCTGTCTCAGTAACTTCCCCTGTAAAATGGGGGTAACAGGGACTTCCCCGGTGGCCCAGTGGCTAAGACTCCGCACTCCCAACGCAGGGGGCCTGGGTTAGATCCCTGGTCAGGGAGCTAGATCCCACACGCCACAGCTAAGAGTTCGCATGCTACGACTAAGATACCGCATGCCGCAACTAAAGATCCCACATGCCGCAACTGAAGATCCCACATGCCGCAACGAAGACCCAGCGCAGCCAAATAAATAAATAAATATATTTTTTAAATGGGGGTAACATAGCCCCCCTGTCCCGTAAGGCAGTGGGCGTGTAGGATACCTGTAGATAGTGCAGCACGACATAAATGTTCCATTTTGTTCCATCTTTGGCAGGAACTAACTGTGTAACCTCAGCTGAGTCAACCTCTAGACCTCAGGGTCTTCACCTGTCAGGTGGGCTGGGGGCCCGGGATTATCAGTCCTGCAGGTCTGCCGTGAGACTGAATAACACTGACGACCGTGCCCAGCCCAGTGTGTGGCACTCAGTGATCACGTCACAAATGCTACGTCCACCCCTTTTCCCTGAAATTGAAAGGGCTGAACCAAGAGGTACCACAGGTGGGGCAGTGGGAGCTCTAAAAGGAGTCTTCACACCCTAAAACAAGCGCTGGAAAATACATGGGGACACGCAGAGAGCTGTTCTAACAGAAACCGAGGGAAGCCACGGGGGAGCCGGGAACAGAGAGATGCAACGAGGTTCCCTGAAGACTGACTGCCAAACCTGAGGAGCCCTGGACACCTCCCCAGCCCGGCCAAGCACCCTCTGCCTCTCATCCCACCTTCCTCACGCTGGAAGCTTCCCTGAGCGTCTCAGCGGAACCTGCCCCGGGATCTTAGCCGATTTCTCCAAATATGCTGGTGCTTTGATCCCTGAGGGCACCAGCCTCCTCCTCTCTGGATGGGCCTCAGCCAAAGCCCCCTCACAATTTGGTGTTTCTCTGTCAAGCGGTTTGTCTCCCTAGAAGACCGTCGTGATCTCCTGGCATGTAGGAAATATCCCCAATGCATCTTAGTGGTCCAGTGACAATCTAGGGAACATACCACGCGTTCACACTACCCCACCTTCATGGATGTCATCCCCGAAGCCGAAGGGCCTTCTCCCTTCTCTGCCTGGTAAATCCCTTTCTGTCCTTCCTACGAACCTGCCAGCTGTCACTGAAATCCACGCCGCTCCTCCCACCGACGGCTGCCCAGCTAGAGTCAGCCCCTGCAGATGGTGCGGTCATGTGACTAAGTTCTCACGCACTGGACACAACAGCCCAGGACTGTCCAACTGATGTCCCACCTGCTTACCAGGAATCACTCGCCCTGGACCCCTCACATTCCCATTTCTACGAGCTGGAGCTCAATGTGCCTTGCAACCCAGCATGGACCACACGCAAGGACAGTGCCCCCTACGGCAGAGCCTTTGCCAGTTCTGTGGCATGGACCCCCTCTGAAGTCTGGGGAAGACTACGGATGCCTTTCTCAGAATAATGTTTATAATGCATAAAATGAAAGGAGAATCCAATTATATCAAAATACAGCTACCAAGTAAATAAAAAATACTTGCAATATACTAATACATGTACTTCTTTACTAACATCTTCCAAAAGATCTACAGGCAGATCTAATAACCATCATAATTTTAAAGTAGTGACGAGCACACGTTATCTTGAGATATTGGCAACAACGGCAGAAGTGCTATGAAATTATCCATGATTTCTGCTGGTGACGAAGCCTCAAGCGGCTTGTTGCCAATATTCATAATGGAAGGAAGTGTTAAGTTTCACCTACATGTTAATCAAGAGACACCATTTTTGCCCAAAGTTCACACGCCACCACCTCACAAGTTTTATCTGTGGACTCTCTGGGGGTCTGCAGAACCCCATCTGAAAACCCCTTCCCTGGGAGACCGCAGACCAAGATGAGAACATCCTGGGTCCCCGGACAGCCTCGCGGACCAGAGCTCAGAGCTCCTAGAATACTCTCCCGCACATCGAGTCTTGAACTTACATGACTGAAGCCACGGTCCGTCTGGTCTCTTGACCCTAGTGATATACATGCCCAAACGTCACCCCTCCTGGCATCTGTGGTGCAGCCGTCACTCACCCCTCCCCACAGACACCTGTCGCCCCTAGTACACGCAGCCCTCTGGGGCAACTGTTCACTCCCAGCCCAGCCCCCAGGTGAGAACAGAGCCTGGTGGAACAGCCCCAGCTCCTCACGAGGGCCTGACGCAGAGCGGGACATGGTGAAGACTGGCCAAAACAAATGCACGGGAGTGAGTGAACACTTCTGGGGCACCTGCTGTGGGACAGGGCAGTTCCAAGCGCTCCGCACACGGCCTTCCGCGTTATGCTCGCAGCACGTGAACGACGCGGGTTCTGTGGTGAACCCCCAGACCGCGAGGACTCAGAGGCGGCGGGAGGTGAAGCGACCTGGCCCGGGTCAGGCGCGAGGTCAGCGAGGAGAACGGGGAGCCCGTGCCCCGAGCCGCCGGCTCTCCCCACGTGAGCGGCAGCCCCGGGCCGCTACCTTGATGATGATCTTCTCCCGCAGCTGGCTGGGCGACGGCAGCTGGTCAGCACTGGCCTCCGTGGGCTTGGTCAGCAGCAGGTCGCCGAACGCCTCCTTGAACACCCTGGCCATGTGGCGCTGCTGCTGCACGCAGCAGTGCTCCTCGATGGACAGGATCACGGGGAAGCTGCGGGCAGGGAGGGAGGGAGGGGCGCTCAGCAAGCGGGACGGGGCCGCCCACGCAGGGCTGCCTGGCCCGGCCTCCGGGACCAGGGCGTGCCCTGTGCTCTCGGCCTCGGGGCACGCCAGCGCTCAGCTGGGGCTTCTCAGCAGCGACTTTGGCCAGGATGGAGCCTGGGGTGGGCTGTGTGTGTGCGGGGGGGGGTATCTGTGTCGCTATGTGGGGTGTACATGTGTGTCTGTACGTGGAGAATATACGTCTGATCATGTGTCTGCGGAGGGGGTGTCTGTGTGTCTTTGTGTTCTGGGGGTGTCCTATGCGGGCGGTGCCTCTGCACGTGAGCATCTGTGTGGGATGTGTGTGAATGTACGTGCGCGTGCGCTGGGGGGAAGGGGGCGTCTGCGCCCATCCGTGGGGGGACTGCCCGTGTCTGTGGGAGGATGTCTCTGAGTGTGTGTGTGTGTCCATGCGGGGTGTGTCTGCAGGGGGGGTATGTTTGTGTGTGTGTCTGTCCACCCAACCCTAGCCGCCTTCCCCTTAAAGGTGAACCACCAGGAAGGAAATCAGCCAACTGACCTCGAGGTGACAAAGGCATGGTCCTTGATGGCCTGCACGACGTCATCGAACTTGATCTTGGTGGTTCGCGTCCAGCCGTGGTAGATGATGGGCTTCCCGTCGGGCCCGTCCCAGCAGTCCACTGAGGGCAGAGACGTGCAGTCTCAGCACCCGCGCCTCCCTAGTCTACTGAGGGCGGCCACGCTGCCCGGGTGACGACCGCGCCACCAGCCCCGGTCCCCGCACTGGCTCAGTCACCAGGACCCCGGGGCCAGAACCGGTATCGCCCTCAGGGGCCACCAACATGAGGACACGTGTTACCTATGCGGTTACAGGAAGATTTTGGTCGTCTAATTAAAGCTCCCGCTGTCCAAAAGAAACGAAACGTTTCTTTTTTAACAAGAGATTTATCATGTGTTTTATCTTCTGATTTGACTTGTCTAAACCTTGGCTTGCTTCTTCTGCCAGCGGAAAGAATACAGAGCAATGGGAAATTTATTTTTAAAGATTCACGGTAAAATATTCAGACCGAACTAGGTTATGCAGAAGGTGAGCATCCCCTATATATTTTTTTTTTTTTTTTGCTGTACGCGGGCCTCTCACTGCTGTGGCCTCTCCCGTTGCAGAGCACAGGCTCCGGACGCGCAGGCCCAGCGGCCATGGCTCACGGGCCCAGCCGCTCTGCGGCACGTGGGATCTTCCCGGACCGGGGCACGAACCCGCGTCCCCTGCATCGGCAGGCGGACTCTCAACCACTGCGCCACCAGGGAAGCCCTCCCCTATATTTTTGACCCCCAAAAATAGGAATAGGAGCTGACAGTTTCAAACTTGATTTTTCACATTTGCTTTTTCCTAAGGAGGGACAAAGGCATGAATTAAGCAACGCTCTGTAGGAATAACTGCCGCTAAGGCCTGATGCCCTGATGGATGCTTTTGATGAAACCGGAGCCTACATCAGTCGTTTGTGCCTCTTCTCAGCCCGGTACAGCCATGAGCCTCTGGCGCTGAGTCGGGCCGGGGGCGAAGGGTGGGGGGACAGGAGGAAGCACCGGCCCCCGGCCACGTCCGGGGCCTGGAATCACCTCTGCCGGGGTGGCTGTGAGCAACTGGGGACAAAGAGTCAGGGTGGGGCTTCCCTGGTGGCACAGTGGTTGCGAGTCCGCCTGCCGATGCAGGGGACGCGGGTTCGTGACCCGGTCCAGGAGGATCCCGCATGCCGCGGAGCGGCTGGGCCCGTGAGCCATGGCCGCTGAGCCTGCGCGTCCGGAGCCTGTGCTCCGCAACGGGAGAGGCCACAGCAGTGAGAGGCCCGCGTACCGCAGGAAAAAAAAAAAAAGAGTCAGGGCGGCGGCCATGGCAGGGCCGTTGCTGAAGCACGCAGGGTGTCTGCTGCCTCGAACACAGCAGCCCAGAAAGAAGCCGAGGGACAGGAAGACAGTAAGGCCGTCCTGGCTGCTGGCCTCCCAGCCCCTCCACTGTATCCAGACACTTTCTGGAGCCCAAGGTGCTGTGGCTCCAGCCTGGCCCGGCTCAACACCACTCCTCGTCGTGGCGACCTTCTCTTCTGGGGAAAGGTCCCCGGCTGGTGGCCGCGTGGCTCACCCCAGATGCTACGGGCACCTGGGTTCTCCCTCCATCTGTCCCGTGCATCCCCACTACTCGGGCCTCCAAACAAACAAAGCATCCAGCAACAACACGGCCAGTCGCAGCCCGCCGACCGCGTGGCCGCCAGCGCGAAGGGGGTACTCACGCTCAATGCAGCGGCAGCCCATCCGCAGACAGCGGATATAGGCCTCCGGGGACGACTCGCTCCGAAGCTGGTCACCCGTGAGGTACCTGGACGAGAGGAGGTGGGCGGCTGTGTGGGAGCAGGCCTGCAGCTCAGGGCATCCCCAGGGAACTTCTCAGCCCGAGCTCCCAAAGGCCCGAGTTCTCCCTGTCCACAAAGACCCCCATTTAGGATCCGGGCCAGACACATGCAGTCGTGTGGCCGAGCCAGTCATGAGACTCAGGCCGTGATCGTGGGCTATAAGGATAAACATCCTGGCAATCCAAGTGTGGGCTCGAGAACGTGTGTTCTTTCGAGGAGAATTCGGTCAAAGGGTGTCAGGCGGGAGACTGACGTATGATGATAAATTAACAACCCCCCTGCCCCGCCGCTGCCCACTAGGCCCTCAGTCTCAACAGGGCAGAGATGGGCCATCATTCTGATACCAGGGCCCCAGGCCAAGCACAGAACAGATGGGACTTACCACCCTATGAACTATGTCCACCAAAACTGACGTGAAAATACCTATTTTTCTCACTCTCCTCCTGACCACATTCCCCCTTTAAGAGTCTGTGGTGCTCAGCTGTTTTCTAGGTTTGGCAGGACTGACCATTCTAAGACACAAACTCAAACCAGCGGACGTGGTGGGGAAGAGAGAACCATGAAGTCAATTGGCCCCGGAAAAGGAAGGTACCTTCCAAAATGCCGGGAGGTGAACTTAAGGGCCTTCTCTCCAACTCCTGCCTGGACTGACACTTGGTAAAGTACCAGTCGACAGCTCTCTGGATGCCCAGAACCCAGGGCCTCCACCCCCCCACCTGACAAAGCAGACTGAGTAACAGAATTTGAGTGTAACACCCATTTCTCCCTTCCCGTCTGCTCTTTTTTGCAATCAGGGCAATCTTCCAAAGATACGCATTTGAGTGTGGTGTTCTCTGGCCTAAAAGCTATCAGCGGCTCCCACTGCCACTGCCCTCGCTCTGACCTCAACGATTCCACTCAAGCTGACCCTCCTGTCCTCTCCTGCCACTCACCCTGCCAGGTTCTACACTCTAGTCCTACTAGAACCCCCCCAGTTCCTCCTGCCCCTGGACCTTCGCACATGCCGTTCCTCTGTCTGAACCCTCCTCCTCGCCTCGCCACCTGTTCTTCTCTCACCAACTCCGGCTCATCTGAAGACTCAAAGGAGGCCTTTTCCCCTCCAAGCTCATGAGGACGGGGCTGCTCCTGCCCTTTTCACTGCTGTATCCCCAGCACCCAGCAAGCACAGGGCCTGGCACAGGGCAAACTCTCAGTAAATATCAGTTCAGTGACTAATTCAGTTGCTTTCCTGTGACCACTAAGAATGAGATGCCCAAACAGTGCCAACCAGCTTTGTTGACTTGCTTCTTAGGGCCACAGAAAAAGGTATATTATTGCAAAACCAACTGGGAAAGAGAGATGCATCCCCCCATCCTCCAGAAGCTTTCATATATTCCAATCTGAGCAGCGAGGGCCTGCACTCTGCCCACGCGCTTTGCCAGAGCAGTGCCCTTGAGCGCCCACCGTATTGCCCTTCACCTGCCTGACCCGCTGCAGGCTCGCGGCGAAACTCACGTGTTATGTGATGAGGAGATCCAGTAATGGGACAAGGGGTTGTTCATGTCCTGCACATCCACCACGTCATACTTCTCATCCCAAATGCTGTTCTCCCGGGAAAACAGGTACGTGAGGAACTAGGAGAGTCACAAACACAAAGAGGGGATCATCACACTGAGGACAGGTGGTGCCGGGTTCTTCTGGGTCTGTGTCAACACGGGGAGATGGTACACGAATATTCTACAGATGGTCTCCAGACCTCAGTTACACAAGTTTTCAGTGCAGAAAACTCAGACTGCAATAGGCTGTACCAACACACGTTTCACTGACCTATACGGTATTTACCTTTTTAATGTGTATCCTCAAATATGTGAGGCTACAAGAGGATATGCTGCCCATATATAAGTTTTAAGGCATAATAACATTACGAACAGTTGTGAACCTACATGAGAAACAGAACATGCCAGTATCGTAACATCTAAAAGGCAGGAAATTTCATATCCCAGTTCCTGACCCCTTAAAAAAAAAGAAAAATCAGAAGATTGAGTGACAGTGGGTAACACTCTGTTTCCTGGGAACCACGGTACATGGGACTGGAGCTCCCCAGTTCCCCCTCACACAGGGCCAAATGCACCCATTTCCACATCGTGCAAGAGCCCCAGAAACCTTGGAATTTCCTTGCTCTGCTTGTAATGGTTAGAGACTCCCTGGCAGCACACGCCCTCTAGTGACAAAAGCAAAGGTCCCGCCCAGGCTACAGGATCAAATAGAGGAAGAGAAAAGTCAAAGGCTGTGATGGTTCAGGACCTGGAAGGAAAAAAAAAGTTCTCGACTAAGAGAGCCAGTTTCGGGGCATCTAACGGCAAAGCCCTCCGAGGGAAGAGGCCCAGAAAATACACCTTGGAGGACAGACACCTGAATCACAAAGCCATGCCAACAGGACGAGGGGCCCACTTACCTCATCCACGAACAGGAAGGGCTCGGCAGTTTCTCTCATCGTGTCATCAATGAACTTTGTCATCCGCTCACGGACTTTGTTCAGATCCTGCGCCCAGAGCTCCTTAGAATGATAAAGAGAACAAGAAATCATCAGAAAGACGAACTGTAAAATTCTTTGCCTCTCAGGATCCGGTTTCAGTCGAAGACCCAAACATGGACGTATTCTGCATGCACATGCCATCCAGGCCTTACCCTGTGCAGGGCCAACATTTTCCCTAAAGGACCAGAGAGTAAACATTTTAGACTCTGGGCCCCAACCATTCAATTCTGCTACTGTCGTGCAAAACGAGCCACAGGCACACAAATAACTGTGGCTGCGTTTGTAAATAAAACTTTATTTATAAAAACAGGCAGTGGGCCAGATTTGGCCCCTGGGTGTAGTCTGCCGACTCCTGCTCTACGCTAGTTCTTTATACGCGTTATCACAAGGAGGCGGGGAGCACAGTGACATCAGACCCCTGGGGTTACTCGCCTGGCTGATGCTGAGCAGGTTACACACCTTTTCTGTACCTCCTCATCCGTTACATGGGAATAATGGTACCTACGCACAGAGGCTGTGACGGGCTGGATGAAATAAGGGTCTGTGCTTAACACAGCACCCGGTACACGGAAGGTGCTCAAATCACGGCATTGTGTGAGCAATCGTCATCCTCCCGTGACATCTCGTTTAGTCCAGAAAACTCTGCAGGTCACACACTGTCATCATCATTTTACAGACAAGGAAACAGAAGCTCAGGACATCACATGATGATCCCGACTTCACACAGCTGGGAAGTAGGAGAGCTGGGCTTCCAAATAACTGAACTTTGGAAAACAGATATAGAATCAGTCCAGATCAGTGAAGCAGTGTGCTGCTCAGACAACAGCAACGTCTGAAAGATACATGACCAGTTCAAAAACAGCTTCTGCACCGTCTCAGAACTTCGAAAGCCCTTTAGAAAAAGAATATATAACCTAAAGTAACTTTATTGTTTTCCTCCTCAAACCCTAAAACCCCAAATATTCATAGACAAGAGGATGACACCTGAGCCACAGATTCCACTTTGACTCATGTTTTCTGGGTTCCAAACATTCTAAAAGCTCCATCTTTAAGAATCATAAAAGCACATGTGTTACCCGACGTGTGCAGCTGGATGGGAAGGGTCAGATCAGGACATTTGAAACAAGGAAAAGCATAAGGGCAGACACAAATGAGGTGGGTGCAAATCAACAATAAGCCTTGCTGTTCATCCTTGCAAATCTACTTGGATAAAGGACACCCAATAGCTGGGAGCTGGGGGAGCATCCAGTTCATTTGAATACAGCAGTGATGCAATCCTTGAATACCAGAGCATGAAACTCAAATTGTAGGATACTTAATGCACATGCCTAGACGCCCCCAAAAGGCCAAAAGCTTCCTGCTTCCTTCTCCTAAAAAGCTTTCGCATAAAAGAACACGGGTACTGGACTTCCCTGGTGGCGCAGCGGTTAAGAATCCGCCTGCCAGTGCAGTGGACATGGGTTCGATCCCTGGTCCAGGAAGATGCCACATGCCGCAGAGCAACTAAGCCTATGTGCCACAACTACTGAGCCTGTGCTCTAGAGCCCATGAGCCACAACTACTGAGCCCGCGTGCCACAACTACTGAGCCCACGCACCCAACTACTGAAGCCTGCACACTCTAGGGCCCGCGAGCTGCAACTACTGAACCCGCATGCTACAGCTACTGAAGCTCGTGCACCTAGAGCCCATGCTCTGCAACAAGAGAAGCCACCGCAATGAGAAGCCCACGCACTGCTCGCCACAACTAGAGAGAAAAGCCCACGTGCAGTAACGAAGACCCAATGCAGCCAAATAAATTACTTACTTAGTTAATTAAAAAACAAAAACAAAAAAAATGGAAACTTAGCTGCTATAACCTGGAACTGCACTGGCTGTAAATAAGAAATCTTCTACCTAAAGGAGTTTAAAATATGAATACTCTGGGGGGGTAGAAAAATGTATCCACTTGGTGTGGGGTATTGAATTGGGCAACTATCAATATAATAATGAAAATGATCAGAGTAGTGATGAGAGGAACCAGCATGGTGAGGCCGTCAACACTGGGCAGGGGCAGCCTACCGGGTTCTGGGCTCAACCTTGTCACATGGTGGCTCATTTTGAACTCACATAAGCCCAGGCAGGACATATAATATTATTCTCCAGTTATATAAATAAGAAAGCTGAGGCTTCAGTCATTAATTAAGTTGACCTAATGATGAGCCCAAGACCAACGCAGGCACATCAGTTCCGGGTCAGTCAGTGTCACCCATGCCTCCCAGGGCTGGACTGCGGCGCATTTAACCAGCCCTCGAGTGGAAACTCAGATCAGTTCCAAGTTCTCACTTCTATTAAAAATGCTGCCATTATTTAGGATAAGTTCCTAGGAGAGCAATTATTTAATCAAAGTATATAAGCCTCTTTTCAAAGTTTTCATTTTAATTGTGTATTGCCAATGTGTTTTCTAAAAACCTGTACTAATTCGCACACCAAGTGCTACAGTGGTTATTCCACATATGAGCATCCACCACCCCCAACAAACGTCCTAGGTCACTGACTCTGCTCCATGCCTGCATCCCACAGAGCGCTGGAAGCTGGGACATTCCGGGTCCACGAAACATACGGCTCAGGGGCCCCATCCCTGGCAGCACATCTTGTTCCCGTCACGCGCACCCACACACATGCTCATGGGCTGCCTGCGTCCTCACTCCCGGATGCGGGATCCTAACGCCCTGTACCTTGCTCTGGGCCCACAGCCCTGATCTCTGAGGGCAGCCCAGCCACGGGGCCGGTGTAGGGAAAGCCTGTGACCCTCCCCTGGAATAAAATTACTGAGCACGAGGTGGTGGATTCCAGGATATAAGACTACTTGTCTCTAGGAGTTTAACCGTTTAACTTCAAGGGCTCTGTACAAAACTGAGTAATTCAGCGCAAGGAAGCGCACGGCGGAAAAGCAAACAGCCTGGGCCTCTGTCTCTGCTTCACTCTCCTGGCAGCACCGCACCGTGCGTGTAATTGTGCTCAACAGAATTCACGGATCCCCCCTCGGTTCTCCTGCCCTGGGTTGTAGTCTCAGGCGGGGCAAGGAAGCCTTCTCTTGGTCACTGCCATTCACCCAACGTGGGGAAAGCGCGACACCTCAGAGCCCTCGGTCAGCGTTCATCACGCACCACAGCAGCTACCAGCTCTGCCCCTCGCGCAAGCGTGCGTCTGTTTACGTTCCCTACAATCAATGACGTCTGAACGTGGGATGTGTACTGCCTGACACTAGGAAATTCGTGTTCATTGTGAAAGGTGTAGCAGGGGTATTATGGCCATGTTTTCTAAAAAAAAAAAAAAAAAGTCCATTTCATAAGAGAGACACGTTGAAGTATTTTCAAATGGAATGATACACAGTCCGGGGTTTACTTTAGAATTTGCCAGCAAGTAAATGAAGAAGGAAAGAAGGGAAGGGAGACACGTGGGTATGGAGATGGAGGATGGATGAAATCAAAGTGGCAGAATGTTCTTTGTCATCAGAGTGATGGGTACAGGGTGGCTTATGATGCCAGCCTGTCTACTTTTGTGCATGTTTGAGATGTGCTATAATACACAGTATTTTTTGAAAGTAAATGAACTGAATATTACTATGAAAAAAACTATATATTGTTATTATGAAAAAGTCTATTAAAAAAAACTAAAGAGAATAAAAGTAAATGAAACTCCAGTGATATAAACAAAAATTTGAAATAGATATGTGACTACGCAATATATATGTACTCATACACACACACAAAGATCAAGGCCATGGGATTCCCTGGTGGCACAGTGGTTGAGAGTCCGCCTGCCGATGCAGGGGACACGGGTTCGTGCCCTGGTCCGGGAAGATCCCACATGCCGCGGAGCGGCTGGGCCCGTGAGCCATGGCCGCTGGGCCTGCGCGTCCGGAGCCTGTGCTCCGCAATAGGAGAGGCCACAACAGTGAGAGGCCTGCGTACCGCAAAAAAATAAAAAGATCAAGGCCATCTTGTCTAATCCCCACAATTCTGAGAGGTAGGGTTCTCATCCCCACTTAAAGAGGAGGAAAGTGGGACACAGAAAGGTCAAACCACCTGCCCAAGGTCACACAGCTGGTGAGAGGATGTCAGGTTTCTCTCACTCTAACTCAGTTTCTCAGCCGAGGCACTACTGACATGTGGGGTTGGGTAATTCTCTGTTGGGGGGCGGGGAGCTGACCTGTGCACCTTTAGTTATTGCGCAGCATCCCTGGCCTCTACGCACCAGATGGCAATGGCAGCTCTGAGTCGAGTCTGCAGCCATTGCCCTGGGGCAGAACCATCCCCTAGAAAACCACTGCCCAACACAAACTCTGACTCAGCCACCAGCTCGGAGCCCACACGCAAACATTCCGGGAGACGTCCACCTGTCATTTGTTTAAGGACAGCTGTGCCACCTTATCCCCCAGAGGACCCACAGGCTCATCCACCTTGGTCACACCCTCCACGAGTCAGGGAAGGCTTCCTGGGGAAGCGACACCAGAGCTGAGCTGAGAGGAGCAGAAGCCGGCAGGTGAGCACACCGTCCGCCCGCCCTGCGGTGTCCTCTTTCCCTTCCTCCAGCTGGGGCCTGGGAAAGGGGCTGATTCCAGAGTCTAAGCCCCCGAGGCGGCACTGAGCAGGGAGGCGACACCTGTTTCATGAACGGCAGGTGGTGAGAAGGTGAGCAACCGCTGGGGCAGCCCCACCCCAGAAGCCCCTGCCCTGCTGTCCTCTCACCTGCTGTTCATGTAAGAGAAACCGCTGGAAGTCGTGCAGGTGAACAGCGGAGGCATCCGGCCGGTCGGTGTTGCTGTCCTCGGGGAAAGGGAGGGTGTTGAGAGAGGGGCAGCCAACAGTCAGGAGGCGATCCCAGCCAGCAGGACGGCCACCCAGACACCCAGCCGAGTGCCCCCCGCAGGGCCTGGTGCAGGCTGGCCAACAGGAAGACGAAGGTGACCCAGACGACATGCCTGACCCAGGAGGATTCAGAGGGGCCCTGACACCAGAACCTGGGAGAACTGGGCCCTGGAATCTACACTCGGCTGTTCCCAGGTGGTCCAGGTGCAAGGCAGAAGGAAGGGGGAGGGAGGGCGGGCGGGCACGGACAGGCGTGGACAGCAAACGCCCGGGCAGGGCTGGATGTGGAGAGCGTTTGGGGTAGGCGATGCTGGAGAAATGACTCCAGAGTTGGCTGAGCCGTCGAGGGCTCTGAAGCAGGGGTGCGGGCCAGATGAAGCCCCCAACTCTGGCGGACAGGGAGAATCAGCTGGAACCTGCAAGATGAGAGCTGTGGAGCGAGCAGAGGCCCGCTGCTGGGAGAGTTTTCCATTTGACACGGACCCCTTCACCCTGAATAAAGGGAGATTCCACCTCGGCCAGCAGCTTGCTGACTGATGGCCTCGTGGAGAGGATGCTCATAGCTACCAGAAAACCAGAACCTCACTGGACTGGCAACCCAGTTCGCTATGGAAAGCGTATCCGGCAGAGCAGGGCATTCTGGGGAAATCTGTACTTTTCCCTGAGCACATGCAGCGGGGGTGGAAGGTGGAGGGTCTCTTTTGAAATACAGGAGGTAAAACAAGCTTTAAGCTTTCTCTCTTTACTAAACACTCAGGGTCCAAAAGTCTGTTGTCTCTGCGTGCATTTCCAACCTTCTTTCCTAACCAGCCTCGTGGTCCAACAATACTAATCTTTTCATTAAAATACCACATAAGAATTGGATTCGTTTTATATACATTTTAGAGTCTTGGGGTTTCTGGCTTAGAAGGTAACTGAGGGAATAGTTGCCAGGGCATCCTCATCAATGAGGGCTGCTTCCAAAAAGCAGGCCCAGGTCAGCGGGCCGCAAATCACATTCTAGGCGCTATTAACTCCATGGCAAACATTTCTCCCAGGTAGACAGGCTCAGAGGACATAGACCACTTTATAATTAGGGGAATTAGTAAGTGTAGTAGAGGTCCTGACAAGTCCTGCAGCACTTAGGCTTTAATAATAACATCACTGTCACTATTTACGAGCCCTGCCATGCACCACGTGAAGCACTTGATATGCTTCAACCCATCTGAATTCAGTTCACTCTGCTTAGCCAGGAATTTCCCCAACGCACCTCTGGGAAAGGAGGTCCTGAAGCAAGCAAGCTTCTCTACAGAACCTTCTGGGTCACCCTCCCAACATTCCACAAGCCCTGTTGCTGTGCATGTTTATTCGTGGCACAGGCTTGGGCCGGCCAGTTCCCCAATAGGGGGACCCCACCAGTGCCTGCCCGAGAGGTGACCTCCTGGAGTTCCCATGGCAAGGCTGGGAGGACCCACAAGGGCACCAACGCCCGGCACAACTACCCAGAACAACAACCCGGCAGAGGCGCCTCACCCCAAGATGAACACGGAGGAATCCTTTTTGAATTCGTCAAGAATCTAAAATAGAAAACAGAAGGAACACACCCATGAAACAACGTTAGACAAGTCGAGACGCTTAATGCAAATACACAGATGTTTTTGTTGTTAAAAACTTATCATTGTCATTTATGTGACTTGCCAATGTTCAAATAATTACATCCTTACACAAAAGGTGGAAGCCTTCCTCACCCCTTGCAGAGTCTTTTTTCTGAAAAGCAACCATTCGATGATTTGGCAGGTCTCCGTCTCGAGTTTGTTTTATGGATATTCATTTAACTCTATCTTATCATATTATATTACGTCTATGTCTCCCAACTTTTTGCTGTTGTTTCAAGCTTTACGTATTATTCAGCAACCTCAAATCGCCCTACCTCACTACTTTCAAAACCCACAGCGTATTCCATAACATGTCTGTCTTTCAATTTTCTGCTATTATATCCAGTCCTACAAAGAACGTTCATACACATATATCTTTGTGCACTTGGGCCAGCATTTCCAGTGGGTAGTTTCCTGGGCAGGAAAGCGCCTGGACACGGGGTGTGTACTTTGGCAGATTCACCAAATTGCTTTCAAAACAGCTGTCCTGACCCGCAGGCCCACCAGAGAATGCACACCCTTTTCTGCACCCTCACGGGTACATTTCCAATCCTTAATATTTCAATGAGCTCATTTCTAATCCTTGAATTCAAGAGAAAGAAACAAATATTCGACAGCTCTGGTCCTACACTTCATGGCCTACTGATCTCCCAACCACTGACGGAAGGATGGCGAGCTCCTCCACCAGGAAGGCCTGGGGTCCCTCCACTCACTGGCCACGCATTTTCCACATGCACGCGCACGCATGCATGCATGCACACACTCACACGCCACACACAGGCACACCCATACTGCGTCTATTTCTGGCTAGGTAGCATCACTGAAATAATCTTTAATGAGACTGCGATTGGATAAGCATTTGAGTAATTCTGGGCACAGATGGAAATGTAGCCCCTGGCAGGTTACAAATGCTAATGATATAAAACAACTCCTGCTCTAGATTCCCCAAGTCCTCTTGCCAAACTGCTTGCACTCCAGGATGACGTGGAAGCTCTATGTTCTAGAACAGGTATCCACAGGCCCCTGGGAAGAATCAGGGGATCTGCATAAGTCTGTGCAAATATGTTGGGTTTTTTTTTTCTGGAAAGATGATGCACAGCTTTAATGAGCATCTCAAGGAAGCAGGTCACCAAAAATGATGAGGAGTCGCTTTCAGAATGACTTAGAAATACTTCCTTTCATCTATGTGTCATTTACAGCAAGGCTATTGATTTTAAAAAGAAAAGGGATTTTAGGCAGTGCCAGCTGTTTGTTATCTGGAGTCATTTGGCCCTTAGATCACTGGGTCAATCTGGTGCTTAAGGCCGGATCATTTCCAAACCCAAATCCCGAAACTGGTTTCCCTACGTTGGAGAAAGGCCATCTGTGACCCCCCTTCAACTGTCCACTCCACGCGGTCCTTACTTAAAACCAGCCCCTGCCTTGCCTTGCCTTGCGATGATGTACAGAAAAAGCTGCACCCCATTTCAGCTACATGAGGAGCTGGGATGCAGGAGGAGGTGCCTCTACTGTGGAGATGCTCCAGAGCCAGGAAAGATGGGGAGCAACACCTCAGCTTCCCCACTCCTCTGCCTGCAATCTCCTGTCACCCCATTTGCTGAACCCCCTGGAGGCAGAGGTGCCTGGGAACTTCTTTGTAAGAATCAGCCCCTCGGGGTACAGAGCAGGGCAGAGAACGCACTAAAATCGAAGAGGCAAATATGACCAGCCCAGGGCTCACCACTCAGGTAGCACACATGGAAGCAAACCCAGTTCTCTCAGAATTCAAAGGCCGAGGTGCCTGAGGATACGTTAGGAGATGGGCAGAATGCACTGGGGGGCAGGGGTCATGGGAAGTGGGAGAGAGGAATCAGGATGATTCCTGGGCTGTCCCAATGGGGTGGCCAGGTATGGGTTCATGGCAGTGGAGGTGGGGGTCGGTGCTGAGTATCACGCCGCCTCTTCTGGACACTCTAGCGTGAGATGCGAGGCAAGCTGGCAGTCAGGGGAGTCTGGCATTCAGGGGAGACGTGGGGGCCGGAGACGTGTTTCTGGGAGTAATCAGCATAAAGATGCTATTTGAAGCCGGGGGACCAGATAGGATCACACCAAGAGTAAACAGAGAAGACAAGAGTTCTGTGGACTGAGTTTTGGGTAGGGATGTACAAAAAACCAGCAATAGCATGGTGGGTCTTTTCCTGAAAGCAGCTGGGAGGCCATTCTGGGGGTGCAGCGGGTACTGGGCGTTTCTCCGCCTGGGTGTCAGCATAACTGCAGGGAAAGCTGTCCCTCACCATCTCTGGCCACAGACGCTTGAGGACACGCCAGTGCGTGTGAGCAGGGGGCTGGCTGAGGAGCTGACGGGCACTGCATGGTCCCCCGTGGGGTCCACTCAAGACTCTGGGGGACCAGCGGGTTGGTGGGGCAGAGGGGAGTCACCAGCTCCCTCCGGCAGCAACTAGTTTAACAACTGGTATCAGCACTTGCCGGCGAAGCACCGGCCTCACCTGGGTCATGCCAACCATCAGACGCCGAGAAACCGAAGACCCAGCTAAAGAGGCTGAGAGCCAGCAGGAGGCGACGCACGAGGAGGAGGAAGACAGTGCAGCACCCAAAACCCAAGCGACAACATCAAGGAGAGAGCGGCCAACTGCCACGCGGGTCACATGCCACGGAGCAAACAAAACAAAGACCAGAGGGTGGACCACTGTACCTGTCAAGGCGGAGGTCGGTGGTAATGGGACAAGGTGAACTGCTGTGGGGTAGGAGGCACGGAAACACGACTGGAATGGGCTCCAGAGGTGGAGGGAGGGAAGCAAGCGCAGACGGTGGCGCAGATGGCACTCTTGGAACAGGTCACTCTACAGGGTCAGAGAAATGGGGCGGCAGCCGGAAGGGGGAGGTGTGTCAGGAGGATGTTCTAAAGATGGAAGAATGTGCAGCATGTGCTATGGGTAGAACCGCGTCCCCCAAAAGACACGTCCAAGTCCTAACACCACCTGTGAATGCAGCCTTATTTGGAAACAGGGTCTTTGAAGATGCCATCAAGTTAAGTGGAGGTCATGCTAGATTAGGGTGGCCCTAAATCCAATGAATGGAGTCCTTACAAAGAGGGAGATTTGCAGACAGACACACAGAGAGACGGTGCCCATGGGATGATGGAGGCAGAGACTGGAGAGGTGCGTCTACAAGGTAAGGAGCACCCAGGATCGCCAGCAAACGGCAGAGGCTGCAGAGAGGCGAGGAACAGATGGTCCCCTAGAGCCATCAGAAGGGGTGTGGCTCTGCCCACACCTGGCTTCAGACTTAACCTCTAGAACTGTGAGAGAATGAAGTTCTGGCTCTTTTAAGCCACTCAGTTGTGGGTCCCTTGTTACGGCCGCCCTGGGAAACGGACACGGCACGTTTGCGAGCTGATGCAGGGCAGCCCCGACCTCACTTACTCCTTGTGCCGATCCTATTAGGAAAGCAGTAAAATAAACCCTGTTTCAGAAGCAAGAAACGGGCTCAGGGAGCACACGTAATTGTTCCAAGGTTATATACCGAGAACGTCAAGGGGCCAGAGTTTCAACCCAGGTCCACCCTGGTCCATCGCCACTGCCCCACACAGTATGTGCAAAGGCACATAATATAAATGACAACATCCCAGCAACGAGGGCAGAACGCTCTAGATACTATGAGCACACAGGGGAGGCAGCAATTAACTTATGTTCACATTGCCGTGTACGGTTACATGGCCAAATCCTACCAAGCCAGGGCATTCAGCCGTCTGTGACTCTGGGCAACACCTCTGACGCCCTGCGACCCCAATAAAGGCTCAGTAAGGTCAGGGTGACGTCTGTTTAGTTGACCACTGTGCCTTCTTGTGTCACCCGTTTATTGAATGGATGACTAAAATAATAAATTAATTTCTCTGGGGAAAAGTAAAAGGCTACAGGGAAAATAAATTAAATTAAAAATAAGTTAAGTTAAAAGGCTGCAGGGAGGGCTTCCCTGGTGGCGCAGTGGTTAGGAGTCCGCCTGCCAATGCAGGGGACACGGGTTCGGGCCCTGGCCCGGGAAGATCCCACACGCCGCGGAGCAACTAAGCCCGTGAGCCACAGCTACTGAAGACCGTGCGCCGTGCTCCGCAATAAGAGAAGCCACTGCAATGAGAAGCCCGCGCACCGCAACGAAGACCCAACGCAGCCAAAAATAAAAAATAATAATAATAAAAAAAAAAGGCTACAGGGAAAAGTAACCTATGACTTTTGGTCCTCAGGAGAAGAGGCAGTTATCAGCTAGACAAGGGAAGGGGCTATGCCAAAGGGAGGGGACAGAAATGACGGCCCAGAGGTCCACCTAAGGTCAGGGAATTGCATCTTCCCACATCGTTGTGGGTGATCACATCCTCTGGGGCTGTAACTTGCCCTCCACAGTGTCTGTGCTTTGCAGGTCATGTGAAGCGGCCATGGGGACAAACCGCAGTGATAGGAAAGCTAACCCGATTCACTGCTAACTTCTGCACTGGGGACCCTTCTCTCCCCTGACCACTGATTAGGATAGCCTGTGATACTCCCTAGACTCCTCCACCAACATATGACAGAATGTTAGTCGCTCTCTTCCCACACGCTCGCACCCATGGAAAATCTGGAAGAGTAAACATCCAACTTCTTATTGAGCGTTTAATTGTAGGTCTAATCACGGGTAGGCTTGCAGGTAGTTTAATTTCCTTTTTATTTTATAATGCACTTTCAACTTGTATGGACTGAACATGCATTACTTTGCTTGTAGTAAAATGTATCCAGATATCAGAAACAAATTTCCTGCAAAGGGCTGCCTAGTCTTCTGCTTCAGTACGTGAGATATCAAAGGACATGCTGGGAAATCCACTGATTGTGACCAAGATGGTCTTTTTTTAAAAATTTATTTTATTGAAGATTACAATGCTGTGTTAATTTCTG